GGCCTTTATCTTCATTAAAAAAGGAAAAAAAAAAACAATCTTCATGTTTCAGACACACACCAGATATTTCAGGAGAAGGGTTTGGTAATATGTGAAATAGTCACTTTGTAATTTAACTTAAAATGCTTAACTATTTGAGTGTAGTTGGGGCTTTTTGTCTTCTGCAGTACTGTAGATGCAGGAAGGAAGAACATTATCATTTAACTTTATCCATAATTCGAGTTAATTTGGGAAACTAATGGACTTAGATTCAGTAAACAGTATTAGATTGAGTTATATAATCAGCCCTGTTTTGACAGTTGGATTACTTTGGACTTGTGGTTTTGTAGATAAGTAATTTGTTGCTTTTCCTAAAGTGATATAAAATACAACATTTTATTTGCAAATGCACTGGACTTTTTTGATTCCTTTTTTTTGTTTTCTTTTTTTTGTTGTTTTTACCTGAACAAGACCTGCATCGTGTTGCTCCATGCTCTGAAACACTCTCTTCACTGAATCTCATTGGAGTGTAGTATGTATTTCCTTACACAGGACTTGTAGAAGTGTTAAGAATTTAGAGAGCTAAATGTGGAATTCAGCTTATAATCTCCCACTCACTTAATTGGAAGTTTAGACTAGCCAAGTGAGACAGCCTGGAGAACAAAGAAAAGGGAAAGAACGAATCCTGTCCCAGTATTTCAAAACTGCAAATAAGGTCACTTGGGTAACTGCAGACTAAAACCATGGTCAGATAAAATTATGGAAATACTGATGTACAAATTGAGTCAAGAGAATAAAATGATACAGGCATGAAGTCATTCATGATTTGGAATAAAATGTTTTATTAATTATTTAAAAGTGATTGTAGATCTAAACATTATTAGTTGACGTAGGTTGCTTAAACATAAGTTGATGTAGTTGTGTGTTTGAGATGATTTTTAAGGCTTTCAATTGAGTTGTTTGGAGATGATCAAAATGGAAGTCAGGGAAATGGGGAATAATCCACAATTGGATGTTGATCTGATAAACTAAAACTTTTTATAAGGAAACCATTTAGTAAAGCAGATTTTATTTTTTCTTTGCAGAATTTAGTACCACAGTCCTCGCTTTTAATGCAAGTATAACTGGTTTCCAAGTCAGTGAAAAATGGGAGCATTAACTGTTTAAAAATCTCAGTCTGGCCTAACACATTTCATTTGAAACTCCTATGGTGAACAGTGGCTGGACTAGCTACAGATAGTTTTTGGAGGAGGAAAGGTTTGGCATTTATGCTGCAGTATTCCCTCAGTGTTTATCCCTCTGAAGAGATCCTCTTTTTTTTTTTTTTTTTTCCTTTTTATTGGCTTTTGAGTTTTTTTTTTTTTTTTTTTTTTTTTGGGGGGGGGGGGGGGGGCGGAAGGTGCCAATAAGAGGAGAAGATCAGTTCTTAAGTTTAACCTCCAGTGCAGATTTGACTCAGCTTGGCTACTTGCTTTGATGCTTCAGCTGCTGTTATTGAAAAGCTCCCTGGTATCTGCAACAACCTGATAAGTTTAGAACTGCATCACTGAAGTATGCATAGTGTTAGTCTGTGGTTACATTAAATTATCTGGAAGTAAAATTTAGGGACATAACACTTCTTTTGGAATAGTTTATATTCACCTACTACAGATTTTTGTGAAGTCTTAGATTTGTTTTGACAAAGCAGATTTTGCATTGCATTCCAGCTTTTGAGGGGGCAGTTTCTACTGAGGGCCACCATCCATTAGCTAACATTAATCAGTTTAATAGTAGCCAGCTGCATTTAAATTTTTATTTATTTATTTTTTTACAGAAATTGCCTGCTCAGCTGTTAAGGGTGGTGGGGAGTTACTGGACAAACAGCAATGTGTGTTTTGCTTTGGAATATTGTAGAGAAAATTCTTTGCTATCAAAGTAGTAGACAGCCAGATATTGTAGGATGTGTTCTTTTTTTGTTTGTTTTTAATTGCCTTTTGCTGGTCTTCAGTTAATGCAATTTTCACATTTCTTACAAAGCAGTTGGCTGTATTAATACATTGATAGATCGATTCTGAAAGTTTCAGGCAGATAGTCTGTTACATCTGTTTGGTCCATTTTCTTCTCTGTATAGTATTGCCCAATTTTTATTTTTTTTTTCCATTCAAGGTACTGTATAGCCTGATTTGTTTCTCAGCGCATAATTTGCTCTCCTTTTTAGCAGTGTGAAAGATTTTCTGTTTGTGTTCTTGGTTGAAAAGGATGCCTTTGTTTTGATTGAGACCCAGAGCCTCAAACGTGGGTGCTATGTGAGAGAAGTTGAAAGGATTAAATTTGTGACTCACATCTAGAAGCCTTTCTGAAAAGGTCCATTTTTTTTCTTTCTACCGATTCATTGATGCAACTTTTCTTTTTTGCTCATTTATCCCAGCGTCATTACTGAGCAGTGTAACATGATTTGTGTGACTGCAGACTTCGATTCTTTGGTTTTGTGTTCAAGAATTGGAAGAATTGTAAAGCAGATAGGTTGTTCACTTAACATACGTTTTATTTGTTAATTGAGAGCTCTGTTGTGCAGCATGTACATGAGTATAGAGAGAGAGTTTGACACATCATCAGTACATCCAATTTAATTGATTAATTATCAGTTTTTACATGGACGTTTTTAATAGTGTTTTTATTTTGAACACAAATTGTTATCTATAAATAACTTATTTATTTATTTATTTTTAGGCATTCAGGTTTGGTCATTCATAAGCCAGTGTTCAAAAGATGCTTTTATACTTCCTGAAAGTAGTATTTTTGTAGGCACCATATTGTATGCTTCAGTTCTAAGATAGCGTGTAATATAATTGCTGACCAAAAAAGGACAGCAAGCAAACTGACCTTGTGGAGCTGTCTCTCTCTTTTGAAGAGCAAGAACATACTGCACGAGGGGAGAGGAACAGGTTTTCCATTTCACTCTCATATTAGCAGCAAAGAGGAAATGTTGACTGGTAGAATCTTCTTTTGTTTGAGCAAAATATTTGGAAAGCCATCTTCTCTGATTGCACGTTCTGAAATGCAAGTAATTTAGCATTCCATAATGTTAATAAAAACCTGAATATCAAATCAGAGCTCTGTGGTCTAAAGCGCCTAAGTAGGACAGCAAAGGCTTTGTTCTGGTGTTCATTGAAGGAAATAACATTTTCTTAAATGGTTTTGGATGTTGGCTCCATGCCAACAGCACCTTTTTGAAATTTATTTTGGATGTCAGGTTAAAATAGAATAATTACAAAATTAATGGAATATGAAAAAGGCTTTTTCAGAATGGTGTAGTTTTATGCACACTTATAACAGTGCTTCAGAACTAAAAGCACTGTGATAACCATCTCCCTCTTCACGTACACAAACAAAGCATATGCAGCTCTTCTAAAAACAATAGCAGGAATGTGACCTTATTTGACAGAAAGCAATTATTGCTGAAATGCCCAGATGGGGTAAATTTGGCTGGTTTCCCAAATGTTTTGAAATCTTGTCTTTAGTCCCATTTCTGTCTCTTCCCTGTTAATGTGGTTCTTTAGTGAAGCATCGGGGGGAAGTGGTTGGGTTTTCTCTGGTGAAGAGAGGATCCAGAGAGCACGAGGCTAGCAGTGGAATAGGATGGCTGTTTGGCGTGCCTCTATGTTGACACTGTCAGTGCACGAACAGCCGTGGTTAGCCTGTGGTGTGAAATGCTGAGAGCAGCAAGGCAAGATTTGAGAGCAACCTGAATCCTTTTATATTCCTCAAGCTCGTAGCTCTTTTTTTATTACTCCCATTGGTTGTATATGGGTGTATAATCTTGATATCTATTTTAATGAATACGTTTTCCTTGAGTCTTCAGCTATGCAGCACTTTGGTGTTCTTTGATTTAACTTTAGATCATCCTATTGCATTTTGAAATCGGACTTAAATTGGTAATACTAAAGGTTGACAATAATTCATCAGGTTCGGACATGTTACTGAATCAGCTTCTGATAAATACCCTTCATTCCACACTTCCTTATGTAAATTAAGTCTTGCTTTTAAGAGCTTCTTTGGCTTTTTTTTCCCCACTGTTTTGTGGGGTTTTGTTTGTTTGTTTTTTAATTTATGTGAAGCGTATTTGATTTCAGCTTATACTGAACACACAAACTTTGATGTTGCAGTTGCTTCTATTTTGGGGTTATTAAGTAACTGTTAGAGAAAATTTGCAGGAAATGCTTGAACTGAAAATCATCAATTTTTCCATTGGCAGAATTTTTAGGATCCATAGAAGTAGATAAATACTGAATGAAGTGAAGGATTAGTTTTGGAGATGATTTAAACTATTAATAATCACACAACCATTTTTTTTTTCCAAGTCTTGTTTATTTTTGGTTCTCCTGTTTGCTTTGTGCATTTGCTTTACCATAACTTTTTTAGTGGGTAAGGGCAAGTTTGCTTTCTTTGGAATCTTTGCTAGAGCTGAGGATGAACTTTGTGTATAGATTTATTTAATAAATGTTTTTCATATGCAGGCTACACCCGACTTAGTCATGCTGAAATTTGCATTATTTTTATTTCAGTGGGCAATCTTAAAAGTGGAATTACTTTTTCATAGCAAATGAAATTACTACTACTTGTGTTTTAAAATGCCAAGTGCATCTGTTTTGTTGAACAGTCCTTTCCCTTAGTTATATGATACTAATCTCTAGTTATGTCTTCACCATCTAGGTGGAAAATATCCACTTTTTTGATGGGAGTATTTTTAGGGGGAAAAAGGTGTTTGCTTTGTGAAAGTGATCAAAGGCTGTGCACAACTTAAATGAAGATATTTAGAGCTGTTTTTACAGAAAGAGCTAGATCTGTGCCTGCATATATGGCTCACTGTTCCGGTATATGGCTGGTGTATACACACATGTATGACTGATTTGTAACTTTAGTGACTTCTATCCAAGTAGAAAGCGTTCCCTCAAAGTACAACTCTTAAATTATATGTCATTTCTGGTATTGGTGTGATTTTTAACTAACTGTCAGTATTTGTGTTTCCTTTTGTTTTTAAGGATCAGTTCGATAACTTAGACAAGCATACGCAGTGGGGCATTGACTTCTTGGAGAAATATGCAAAATTTGTAAAAGAAAGGATAGAAATTGAGCAAAACTATGCAAAACAACTGAGGTAAGTTTTTATTATTATTGTTCGTTTTAAAAGGCTCTTAACGGTTACTTAAAATCACATGATGGGATTTCATGATTAAAGACTATTTTTTCATTTACCGAGCAAATTAGATCATTATTTCTTTTCATGACAAACAAGATTTTCTTTATCAGTCCAAAACAAAATTATCTTTGGGTGTGTGATTACTTGCTTGTTTGTTTTCCTCTCTGTCCCTGCCTCTCCTCCCATCCATCACTTAAATCTTTGAATTTAAGAGTCCTAAGACTCAAATTTTAAGATTAAAACCAAAACACTGATGTTTTTCTTCTATCTGCTTGTTTGGTGCAAAGTGCTTTGTCCAAATCTACATTTTCTCTGTGTTCAACCAGCTTCAAGCCTCTGTAATTCAAGCCTCAGTAATTAATTTCTCATGTTGAAATTGGCAAGAGCTTCACTACGTTTTGTTTAGAAATCTGAATGAAATCACTGACAAGAACTTTAGAAAGCAGCAGTTCTTCGTGTCCTTAGAGCATGCCATTGCGATAGCTAATGATACCTTTGGGTAAGACTCCATAACCCAAACACACTTTGTCTTTTTTCTCCAGTTTATATTCTGTTGTGGCCAAGTGAAAGATCTAGATCTAATAGGAGTTTCCCCTCTTAGGGATAGGGGATCATAAAAGAAGAGTAGTTGCAATGAAATGGCATAGGAACCCGCTTTCAGAATTAAGTGGGATTGAGTTTCACCAAAAAGCACGCACTACTTGAAGACCAAGGTTTAAAATAGGATACTCCTGTGCAGTTGGTTTTAACTGTTATCTGTAACTGTAAAGGGAAGTTTGAAACATGCAGAGTTTCAAAGTTTGAAACCCAGTTTTGATTTCAGTTGTTTGTTAAAAAATTGGATTGTGCTTAATTTGCTTAATTTTGCATTTATATGCTTTCCTTAAATAGTACGAAGAAAAGCCATTTTGCTTAGTTACATTTAAAGGTTAATTTCTGATAGCTAGCAAGATGACATTAGTACTCCAGGATTTAACTACAAATAGGAAATCATTGCTGTGTAGCATTTTACTCTTTTGGGTAAAACTATTGATTTTTCTCAAAGCATCTTTCAAAAACAGGAGTTATGTCAAGTACCCCTTCTGTCAGATGACTGGGCTGACTGCGTATGTGCAGTAAGTATGGCAGTTTCAGGAAGCACTGGCCTTGCTGCACACTTGTACGGTGCATGCATGCACTTCTTGCTTGCTGCCAACGAGGGTCTGGACAGCATACACACACAAGGGTGACTGATTTTCTGCCAGCAGACCAGTTTGTGAATCCACTGTTAGACAGTCTTTCTTGCCTGGGTATTCCCTGGGGGAGAACTGATTGTTAGTAGTGCGCTGTCTTGTGATATTACTTTGATTTCAACCATCATTTATCTTTAGGACAATTACTGGTGTTAACCATGTAAAAGGGAAGTGTCATGAGGCCCCGTGGGAGACTGAGATATGTAAAGTTTTCATTGCCAGCAAAGTTAGCCATTCTGTAGCTTATCCCTTAGAAACAGAGAGAAGGTAATTGGGACTGTGGTGCTGGTAAGTTTTAATGCTAGCAGCATATGACCTGTAGGTAGGATATTAATACCTGTAAGAGCAGTTTTTTTAATAATTTTTCCCTCTTGCAATGAAACAAACCCTGGCAATTATAGTGATGAGAATCTCTCACTAAAGAACTTTGTTATTTATTTTGGCTTTATTTAGCAGATGTATGAACTATACAGAAAATGGTCACCTCATGGTAGTTTGTTGGCTGTATTAGTATTTGGATGGGAGACAGAAAAAAAACCAACAAGTTTAATGTGGGATGTAGTACTAGCAATGTATGATGGCAGGTTCGTTTGTTTTCTGGCCTACCATATGGCCTACCACCTCATCGGTGGTGGGCCTCCAACATCTTGTTGAGGTGGAACTTATTTTATAGCCTTAAATCCAAGGATGTAAACTTGAATTAATTTTTTGTAACAGTTTTCACAAATTAGAGTGCATGTCCTGGCAGAAATTCATGTTCACTTAGTGCATACCCTTGCATTTTTGATAAAGTATTTTTTCTGTATACAGTCATAACTTAGTGATGACATGTACCCAGTTGGCAACAGCTGTTCCAAATCTTCTAGGAGATGGCAAGCAAGTGATGCACATGTAGCATATGAAGAGCTGTTTGAATGAACTCACTATGTTGTTACTGAAACTGATTGAAGTTGATGGTTGCTGAGTAATTCCAGACATTACTTGTGAGAATTCTGTCCAAATGTTTTGCCTAAGTTACAAGTTATTCTTGTTATTCTTTGATATGCAGTTGTTGATGCTCGGAAGTGTAAGAAAAACTGGCACAATTCAGGAAACCTTGAATGTCTACAGAAAAGAAAAACTGTCTGTAAAGATTGTTCTGTCTTTGCAATATACTTCGTTCTGAAAAAAAATCAACCTTTATTTTTTTTTGAGGTAACAAAAAAAAAATCTTAAGCTTTGTGTAGCTTAAGTCTCAACTAACATATTATGGTGCCCCAAGGGAAGTGAGGTTTATTATAGGTTGTTAATGAGTTACAGGGATGTGAACAAGGACAAACATACTGCAATATGCATTGCTGCAGATTCATAGATTTAATTTTGATTACACAACTGCTTAAATTGTCCTTATTTTATAAGTAGGAAAAAAAAAAGCAACACAACATACTAGATAGATTATGTGACAAATAACTGGGCAAGTAGTTGAATTTTGTAATTGCATTCTCAGATGCTGCTTTTGATCAGCAATATTGCTTAAAAGAGGTGAGGTGAAGTTCTGCTTTGTTTACTACCATGTTACCACATGCAAAATAATTCTGAAGGTTTCTTCCTTTTTTTTCTTTTAACTGTCTGAAGCATTCCAACTCTTGGGAAGATGGAATTCAACTTTCCTTAATGCTAGGTGGTAATACAAGTTACACCTGTAGTTACAGATGAAGCTACCACGCAGAATAAGATTTCTGAATTTGAAGAAATTTAATTTAAAGAAAAAAATTGTGATTATTCTTGAACTAGTTGTTTCTCTTTAAAACTCAACATTGTAGTCTGAAGAGATTTCTAGTTGATCTGAGCAAATGCATTTTTCATGTTTTTTTTTTTATTTTTTTAATTTATTTTATTTTTATTCTGCATGCCATTAAGTGTCTTTTTTTTTTCTAAATAAGATAATAATACATGTGTATGTTTAGTCAAATTGAGACTTAGTAACCAAATTTTTATATGCAGAATCTTGGAAACATTATTTAAAGTCTATGTAAGCTCAAATGTGAAGTTGTGTTCAGTTCTCAGATACCTTTTTCTTTGGTTGGAGCTGAGACTGTTAATGATCTTCTAAATACAAACATGGCAGTTTTTTTCTAGTGGTATTTCTGTAAGTCAAAACATTCTTAATGGTTACAAGGCTTTGTAAACCCAAGTTCCATCTTACAATTTTTTAAGACTCATGCATTCAGTTGAAGGCTTTTTCCGATACGATGTTATTACTAAATACAGTAGTACATTGTCATTGTTTTCACCAATTCTATATGTAGATATGCAGTCACAGAACACTATTGAAATGATTGCTTCACATATAAATATGAAATGCCTTTAATTTCTTACTGCATTTTAAAATTAATTTCTGAAAGCAGGCTTCACTGTGCCCCCAGTCTCCTGTAATATGATGTAGGGACTGTAGAAGTTTAATATAAAGAGATGTCACAGTGCTTGAGCATTTACTTTGACATAAATTCTTCGATATTGATGCTGCTGCTCCAGTTCTTTACATTGTGTTAGATGACTGAATAAAATTCAGTTATGAGTTTTTGTATGTCTGTACAAATGTAAATATTTTATGTACATGGCTATAAATAATTTAAATGTATTAAGTAAGGTGGCATTTGAAACTTGTGGCTACATGACTAAGGTAGTTTTTCTCTTAAAAATTAGTAATAAAGTCCAGCTGATTTCTCCTTGGTATTTAACCAGAGACCAATTTATACCGCGAAGAGAGTTTGATAAAATTACAGGGTCATCACAATTGGGTGTGATTAGTCCTGTATGAAATCTGCTTCCAGATGTGTGTAAGTCAGAGTGTGGCAGAAGACTAGATTGTATTTCCAGAGAATATTAACCTGTCATCACTCTGCACTATTCTAAAGATATATACAGCAGTTTATCCAGTAAATTTGGTTCAGTTCTGATAGTCTGCAGCTACTTCTTCAATTTTCTTTAAACCTGACTCAGATCTGTTACTTGCATTTTTTGGTTTTCATTCCTTGAAATAAAAAGAAAATTGGAAGAAAAATGGAGATTCTGCGTTTACTTTTAATTTAATTGCCAGATGCCTACAATGCTGATTTGGCCCAGTGTATTTGTGGGTTCATTCATTTGTCTTTGGAGTAGATTGTTAAATGTGGCAGTCCAAGACTGCTATGACCATCTTCTTGAAGGACTTAGGCTCAGAGAAAGCTAGCTCATAGTATTGTTTCAGAGACCTTCGTCATCTCTAGCATGTCCACCAAAATTGCTAGGTTATGTTATCTGCTAAGATAATTAATATATCAGACTGGCTCATGGTCATTTTTGATCACAGCTCAACTTAGCTCAATTTATGGGCTGATAAAGGAACAAAGTTTTTCCTATTCCATTGGTAGGTTTTCATTTTGTCTCCTTCCAGTTATAGTATGAAGTAAACTCTCCCTAAAAGTACAGGAGAACTTAGCAGAGTGGCAAGAGTTACTTGGTAAGGTAAACTCTTAATTATTTTCATATTTTTTACTTTTAAGCTCTCTAATTTCTCAGCCAATACATACGCATGTATGTATATTATTCTGTGTATTTTACATGTGCATATACACATACATATATATACATACAAACACGCACATAAAACTCAATATGCACTGTTGGGGGCCAGTACAAATCTGACTGGGAGTGGAGGTAAGTTGTTCATAGTTTATCCTGCTCTAATTAGGGATTGAGAGGGACTGCTGTTAATTTCCGTTGAAGCATTGTCAGGCCTGCTCTTCTAATAAGAATGTATTTAAATGAGTCTTCCAGTCTGAGGCAGGAATGCTCTTTGGAAATGAACCAAGTGACTTGTATCCATTTGTGGTTGTGTTCACTTGTGGAGGAGTCTGAAAGTATGCAAACTAGATTTCTTCGCGGGGAAACTGAATTGTGGGAAGCGCACCTATTCTGTAAATGCTGGTGGGTGCTCATGGAAATGGCTAGAACTGGTCTGAACTAGAACCTCCAGAAATTCATGTACTGCAAACAGTACTCAGCACTATTACTCTGCTTTAAAGGTCTGCTTAAAGATCTAAGCCACTCTAATTGCTGCTGTACACATATCATAAGGTTGCCAGGTTTTGGAAAAACTAGTCTAGAGCCATACTTGGGGTCCTGAGACCTATGTTTAGATAAAAATGTTAAAGATTGTTATGTCCACTTTAAAGTGTCAGTTGGCTCCTCTTTGAAATAAAACTTGACTCTTCAGATTCACCTTCATCCTTAACTTCTAGTCAACCTGTGTTTTTTCAAAGATTTAATTTCTCTGGTATCTTTCTAACTGTTGGTGTTCACTTGTAAAAAGCTTTTATGCTTCACTGTTCACATGAACACTTGCTTTTTCTTTTAGCTATAAACTCTGCGTTTGCTTGTTAGTTCATATTTATTTATTAACTTTGATTGTTGTACTTTGTACTGTTTATTGAACCTTGAAGTACTTCTGTCCTGCCACTTTAAACTGTATGTGTGGTGGTTTTTTTTCTTTTTTTCTTTTTTTTTTTTTAAGTCATTTCTTTTCTCTTGTAACACCCCTGAAAATCTTCCCTTGAAAAGGCTCTTGCATAGTTGCTAAGCTACAGCATTGTATGCCTGGTATGCATTTCACCTTCTGAATAATAATAAGTTGAATTTCAGGAGTTTCCCAGTAATTAATAAGCACTGAGTAGCAAAGCAGAAGTGTAAGGGAAAACGAAACATGGGAAAGTTACTTAGCTAAGAAGATTATTAAATCTTTTTTTTTTTTTTCCTTTTGACTTTATGAATTTTGCAGTCCAAATGTCTCCTTTTAATCCCTACTGAGTTGATGAGATGGTTTGTAGCAACCAAAGTCACAGGCAGCCAGTGGGAATGGAATACAAAACATACGTGCAGGATTTTGTTTCATATTCTTCTGTAGTGTTGAGGGGTACAGATTGCTTTTACTGTCCAGTTCTTGGCTGTTTCTGAGGAAAGTATTTTGAACTAGATTAGATTAGTAGCAGATGCGGGCTACTAATTAAGAATTAGTCTAAGAAGTCAAAGGCCGGTTGTCTCAATTACTACAGGACAGACGGAAGAATTGTGTTCAGAGGGCAATTAAAAGACAACTGTTAAAGCAGCTCTGAAGGATGGCATTTTGTACTTAATTTCTTCTTTGGGTAGGTGTCTAAACCAGTGTAATTACAAAATATTGTCCCTTTACACAAAACAAAATTTTGAACGAAGTTCAAAACATACCAGTTAAAAAACGGAACCATTTTTTGTATAGTTCAGGTTCCTTTCTCAAGAACACACTGAGAATTTTGCCCTGACAAGCTCATGGCAAACATGATGAGGGGAGAGCGGTGGATATCATCTACCTTGACTTTAGCAAGGCTTTCGATACTGTCTCCCATGACATCCTAACAGCAAAGCTGAGGAAGTGTGGGATAGAGGAGTAGACAGTAAGGTGGGTTGAGAACTGGCTGAGTGGCCGAGCTCAGAGGGTGGTGATCGGCAGCGCAGAGTCTGGCTGGAGACCTGTGACTAGCAGTGTTCCCCAGCGGTCGGTGCTGGGTCCGGTCTCGTTCAACATCTTCATCCACAACCTTAACGAGGGAATAGTGTCTGCCCTCAGCAAGTACGCTGATGACACAAAGCTGGGAGGAGTGGCTGACACGCCAGAAGGCTGTGCTGCCATTCAGTGAGACCTGGACCAGCTGGAGAGATGGGCAGGAAGAAACCAGATGAGGTTTAACAAGAGCAAGTGTAGAGTCCTGCACCTGGGAAGGAACAACCACATGTATCAGTACAGGCTGGGGGACGACCTGCTGGAGCAGAGCTCTGAGGAGAAGGACCTGGGGGTCCTGGTGGACGACAGGTTGACCATGAGCCAGCAGTGTGCCCTGGTGGCCAAGAGGGCCAATGAGATCCTGGCGTGCATGAACAGGAGCATGGCCAGCAGGTCAAGGGAGGTGATCCTCCCCCTCTACTCTGCCATGGTCAGGCCTCACCTGGAGTACTGTGTCCAGTTCTGGGCTCCCCGGTACAAAAAAGACAGGGATCTCCTGGAAAGAGTGCAGCGGAGGGCCACAAAGATGATATGGGGCCTGGAGCATCTTCCCTATGAGGAAAGGCTGAGAGACCTGGGGCTGTTCAGCCTGGAGAAAAGGAGACTGAGAGGGGATCTCATCAATGTGTATAAATAGCTGAGGTGTGGGAGACAGAGGGATTTGGCCAACCTCTTTTCAGTGGTTTGCGGGGACAGGACAAGGGGTAATGGCCACAAAACTGAGCACAGGCAGTTCCGCACCAACATGAGAAAGAATTTCTTCATGGTGAAGGTGACGGAGAGCTGGAACAGGCTGCCCAGGGAGGCTGTGGAGTCTCCTTCTCTGGAGGTATTCAAGGCCCGTCTGGACGCCTACCTGGGCAGCCTGCTCTAAGGAACCTGCTTTGGCAGGGGGGTTGGACCCGATGATCTTTCAAGGTCCCTTCCAACCCCTACAGTTCTGTGATTCCGTGAAAAGGCTGTTAAATAAAGAACACTTTTTTATGTCTAGTCACTGTGGAATAGAGGTTTTAAAGTGCTTATGAATATATTGTTCTAGGTCAAAGTGACTTAGGACTTTGTTACGTTAGGGACCCATACAAGATTATAAAGGGAAGTCATTGAAATTAAATTCCTTGTTTGTGCAGTTTACTGTATGTATGCCTTTTCAAAAGACACTCTAAAGTAGTGTACTTTTTTTTTCTTCCTTAATAGAAATCTGGTTAAGAAGTACTGTCCTAAACGTTCATCCAAAGATGAAGAACCCAGGTAAAAATATGCATTTCAAGTTCTATGTGTAAGAAATAAGGACTGCAATATACTCTGTTTACTTGTCTCTTTATGGACTTTTATTTGTTTTGTTTAAGAAAAAATAGTGAACTGGCTAAGACAACAAAAGAATTCTGCTTGGCTTTTCACACTTCTGTTGTAATTCTTAATCATGAAGCATCACTTCTGTTTCATTAGTATTTTAAAGTAGTAAACATGGCAGGCTGTACTTGCTCTGTTCCAAATTAGTCTTCAGCGAGCTGAAAGTCTGAAAGCAGAAGTTTAGTATGCTCTGTACATGCTACTGCATTTTGTTGTTATTGTTTTTAATAGAAGAGCAACGATTACCCTTAGGCTATGGTGCAGTAGACTTTTCTTCAGTGTATTTGTATTGCAGTACGAATATAGCTATTCAGGTTTGAGACTTGAGAATAAACAAAACTCTTATTTTTGGCAAGGAGAGCTTAGGCCTCTTAAGCTGCTGACTTGCTTTGACTCCAGAGACAAAATAAGCTTGTATGATAAATAATTATAAAGTTGTTTAGCATAAATTGCTCCTCTACAGTTAAACAAAGAGAGGTGCTTGTTTTGCTGTCCATATCCATTACCATTTTTTAATTTAGAAAAGCACAATACTTTTTTCCTGTAGGGATAAACACTTATGAATGAAAGAATGTGGGCTAAGTTTCAGGTTGTGACCAGAGCACATGCTGTGCACAGAGTGCCTGGGAATCTATGCTAGGATTTCCTCTAGCTTTTTTGACTCTATTTAAAGATCCTGGGCCACAGGGAACGGGATTTCTAGTTCTAGGATGGCGTATAAATTCCACAAAGCCAAGCCTGTGGAGATGGCAGTATTCCACAGTTAAAGAGAGAAAGACGTATATTTTAATGTGGTGCCTGTTTTTTTTCTTTCTTTCTTCCCTTCCACACACACTTTCTACCCTTTGCCCCTCCTCTTCCCCCCTTTTCAGTGCCAGCCATAGTGGCACCTTACTTCCAGCCAGGAGGTGGGCAGGCAAACAGGCAGCTGTCTCCAGAGCTCATAGCAAACTTGTTCTGTAGATCATCCATCGGGATGCATTTGAGTGGTATGATTGGCATGTTCCAACCTCAAGACTACCAAGCACATCATCTCTGCAACAAGTTCAGCCTCCAGGCCTAGGGGCGTATATATCTGTTCCCAAGCTCAGGCCTCTCAGTTGGCAGCTTAGGAGATACCACTATACTACAGGGCTTTCCAGGTAGTATTCTTTTTCTTTCTTTTCCATCCACAAAAATCCATGTTCTTATAAAATGTATTTGAAGAGACGTTGCAACATATAGTACGTGCTAGGCTCAATGCAGGCTTTCCCGATTTTCATTTCTGTTGTAATTCAATCATTAAAATAAGGTTTCTTGTAAAATGCATCTGATTTTTTTCTTCAATTTAATTAGGAGCAAAGACTGTGTTAAAGGAAATTATTATAAAACCAAGCGCTATCTCACTTTTTGCATATGTCTATATGTGTGTATGTGCTTTCTGTCAGGTTTACTTCATGTATTGCCTTTTTTAACATCCTTAATGAGCTGAATGACTATGCAGGACAACGTGAAGTAGTTGCAGAAGAAATGGGACACAGAGTCTATGGAGAATTGATGAGATACTCACATGATCTAAAAACTGAGAGAAAAATGGTAATTTCTATATTTTGATTTTATAATAGGGTATCAAAATGGATGTCTTTGAATACTTTATTTACCCAATTTCATGAACTCAGCAATAAATAGGTTTTGTAATACACATAATTAAAGTTATTCATGTATTTCTATGTACTGGTTTACTACAGTTATTAAAACCTGAGAATTGATATCTTGGGAGACAGTGCTTACTGGTAGCTTTTTTGCCAAAGTAAATTTCATATGTGGTACTGTTCTTGCATCATTAATAATAATGTCTTCCAAAGAATACTGGTAGCTACTGGAGATGTGTGTTGTAGTACATAAACTAGAGCACAAACTAGATAATGGTAATAGTAATAAAAAAGAATATATATATATATATATGTAAATCAAACTTATTTCTGGTGTTTTTAGCATCTTCAGGAAGGGCGAAAGGCTCAACAATATCTGGACATGTGCTGGAAACAGATGGATAATGTGAGTTGGGGGGGGGGTCTATCACATTAATAATACGCAATTTGTAAATGGAACTGATGTCATCTCCCTTGTTTAGACTTTAACGTTTAGTTATTTTATTGAATGGCCAAATCAGACTTAGTAACGCCCAAGATACATTCCAAAGTGTTTGTAGTTCACTGCTTAAAAAATTCTTTTGCAAACAGCCATTTAGTGTGTGTATGTGGAGACTTAGTATTTATTCAGCATAAAGGAATTAGGTTTTAAAACGGGTACAGACTTCATTCGTTGCTTCTCAGTGGGCTCCTGTTCAGTAGTGACAATTTATTTCCATGAAGATGAAATCTTAAGTGTTTGACTTGCACTTGAGGGCTTGTTAAATGAGGTCTCTTCAAGAATACCACTGTAAGCCATGATCCTTTCAGGATTTAGAATTACATTTCCACAGAGAATTGCAGAAAGGAAATTTCTCTAGAACAGTTTATAGGCAGTGGTTTTAATGATTAGAAAATATAAAACAAGTATGTTCACGATGCATTCTGATATTCTGCTGTTTCTGTGTCTTTGAAATTTATTGTCTTTGATCCAGATTGTTGTGAAGCAAAACTGGAAAAGTGAATTTCTGCTTTGTTGTTGTGGACTCAGATAAGCACTGTCTTGGGTCAGTGTCATGTCAGAGAGGTTTAATTCATGGTCAGATGATCAGAATAGAAGCAGGTGTGAAGATGCTGAATAATACTTAAAAAAAAAAAAAGATACTTGAAGATATCTTTCATCCAGATAATTCCCAGAATTCAGTTCAGTCAATCAGTTGTGTTCTGTGCATGGTATTTACTCGAGTGCAAGGCGACTCTGAAATTCATACAGCCTTTAAAGGGGCACATTAACCTCAATTGCCTGACTCTGCTATGAAGCAGGAGTGCAGTGCTCACACAATCTCTATTGCCTGTTTGACTCTAGAGATACTAACACCTTGAGCTGCAGAAGTTTTTTCTACAGCAGCTATCTGGACAACAGCCAGATTTATTTAACATCAGGTATATCGAGTACTGTTGTCTATGCTGCTTACAGCTACTTCAGTTGATATGAATAGTGATGATAATGGATGAATATGCTAAGATCTCATAATAGAGATAAATCCTTCTGATTACCTTCAGAATAATTTAGTTGAATTTATTGAATTAAATTGAGTGTTTAAGATGTTAACTTTAAATTTTACAAATATAATTCAGGATTTGAGTTTTTTGCCTACCCTCCAACTTTCATTTAGGTTATTGAAGTCAGGCTAAACAGTGAACTTACCTGTTTTCTAATTTGCTGATGTTGTTTGTAATAGGTTATTTTGTATTTTGGTTTTCTGATATTTTATAGCGTAATTACAGTTGCTTTCCTGTTGCTACTTAAAGGAAACAGTTTGTATATAAAAAACAGGTGAATATATTTGATACTTGTTGCATGCTCCTATGAGAACAGTCTGTTTACTTAAATAAAAGTACTTAGAGAGTTTAAGGTCTTCATTTAAAGGAAGCTTTGATATTTAGAATTCAAAGTTGCTATACAAAACCAAAATGGGATAGTGGCTGTAGGAGGAGTAAGTTTGTGTTTTTTTTAGAGCAAAAAGAAATTTGAGAGAGAATGCAGAGAGGCAGAGAAGGCGCAGCAAAGCTATGAAAGACTGGACAATGACACTAACGCGACAAAGGCTGATGTTGAAAAGGTAAGAGCAGTGCCGTGTTTTTTTTAATGTGTTTTGTTGTGTGTTTTGTTTTTGTTTTTACTCTCCCTTTTCTATAAGCATAATTTTTTTGTATGATTATCATCAGTATTTGCACAACATCTTTTATATAAAATGATGTATAAAATATGTTTTCCTATTACATGCAAAATCAAAGGTACAGTGAAATGTAAGAGTGCAGAGAGAGTATGCTTCATTATTCTCAAGATGATGCTGAGTCAGTTATTTTCTTCTTTTTCACTTCTATGTTTTTGGATATGTATTTAAGCAGTGTGGCTAAAATGACCGTTGCTTTCTCTATATGTAACTAGATGTAAGTTGTCAGTATAAATTAAGGGTTGCATTCTTTCTATTTCAATTATAAGGGCATAAATTTCAATGATGATTTTGATTAGTGTTTTTACATAGTTGGTGGTAAGGTAAATTATAATAATGCTATAATGCTATCATATAATAATGCTAAATATCATTGAAAAACACAAGACAATTTTGAATTGATAACACTTTCCTACTAGGCTAAGCAACAGTTAAACCTGCGCACACACATGGCTGATGAAAACAAAAATGAATATGCTGCACAACTACAGAATTTTAATGGGGAACAACACAAACATTACTACATTGTCATTCCTCAGATTTATAAGGTAAAAAGTAAGAAAGTATGACTGGTGTTCTTTAAAGGGGGAATTAGCTTTTATATGTCTCTCTCTCTTTTTTTTTTTTTAGTGTTATAGTAGATCATTTTATGAGGAAATTAACATAATCTGATACAGTCTGCATTTTATCACAAGACTTGTTGCTTTCAGTAATTATGCTTAGACTTGCAATGGAAATACTCTTGAGTTTTTTTATTAAAGTTTTATATTTTAGAGATGTGAAGTATTACTGAAAGGTACAGTAAAATAAAAATTTGCAACAGGAAAGCAAATGTTTAAAACAATCATTTTAGTAGGGTTCGATAACTAGTTCTCTCTTTCTTTTTTTTTTTTTTAATGCATTGATCTCAGTAGAGTTGTAGAAAAGGACTGGAAAAGGACTATTTCTAGGTGCTTTGTATAACTATTAAATTTTGTTTGATGCTTTCAAAAATAGAGGCTTTCCAACATTAGTTTAAAGTAAAATAGTTGGGGGCCATCAGCTGAGGGAGCATTCAGACACCTAGTGGTCTGTATGTTCAGCCATGTGGCTGTCAAAACTGATTCTGAGACGTGGAATTAGGAAATGAAAGTGAAAACGCTGACTTCATTTGAAGATGTATCAATTTAAGAATGCTTCATATTTTCTCAGCTGATTAAAGAATTTGTTACTATTTTAAGTGGTAAGCAGCGCTTCAGCAGATCTGTTATTACCAAACTGAGGGAGTTATTGCAGTCAAGTCCTGGGAGAAACAGCTTGGTTGACCTTGTATCTTGGATAAGAGTTTTTGTTTATTGCCATATTTCTAGGGTTAAAGTCCATTATCATTGTGAGATGTATGTTTTCTGAAATCTCCAGTAAAAACATGAAGTCCTAGTCCTATTTTTTCTTGGGACTACATTTTTTTTATTACTTCCTTGAGAGTGTTGGCTATACATTATACAAGGTATTAATTGGAGAGGATAAAAGTAAAAGCAAAGTTAAAGAAGATGAGATTTCAGGTGGATATACCTATCACCAGAGAAGTTATTTTGAAGTGGAAGGAGAGAGTGAGGAGATGTAGAAACTAGTAGAATTTTTTCATTATAGTTTCCATTTTTGCATGAAACAAATATTTTTAACAAGTAGGTGGTTGTAGGCATTATACACAGGCTTTAAAAAAGAATAAAGAGTCCAGTCCTTCACACCATTTAACAAATGAGTATCGACTCATTGTAATCGCTGTTCTGTGCATCTTAAGCCTATGTCTGAAATGACTTATTTTTTTTAAACTTAATTAGCTTCTGTTTTGTAAGGGAAATAAAAAACACTGGGAAAGCACAGAAATTCTGTACTACACTGTGGTGACCACAGTAACTGCATACATCAGGATCAGGAAAAAATCCATAAATAAAAACTTCAATAAAATAATCCTTCTTTGTGCTTGCAGCAACTTCAAGAAATGGATGAAAGAAGGACCATCAAACTCAGTGAATGTTACAGGGGCTTTGCTGACTCTGAGCGCAAGGTTATTCCGATAATCTCTAAATGCTTAGAAGGGATGATCCTTGCAGCAAAATCAGTTGATGAACATAGGGTAAGTAGAATTGAGCTTCTTATTAAATGCACATGAGTAAAGGAACTGATACAGATGCTGTGGAGAGTGACATCACTGTTTAGTCTAAATGGTAGCTTCAACCATTGCTGGTGTCTGTTTTCTTCATGTTTTATTTCTTTCCTTTGATCTGAAGATCTTTAACCATGTTGTGTATGATTTTGGACACATAGCATTGGGTATCATGAAACATCCCAGAATACCAGCATGGTTGGTATCTTCTCTGGTATGCATGAAATCATACAAAAGAGTGTTCAGTTAACACCCTGTTAGATCTTACTGTATCTAGTTTCTGAGTGTTACCTTAATTTCAGTGCTAATGTTGAAGGATTAGACGGTGGAGTAGTAGCTCGGGCCTAAACCATGTTCTGTTTTAAATCTGTGAGAACCAGAGGGGACTATTTGCTGGGTTCTGAATAGCAGGGTTTACTTTGATTTGCACTGTTGGTAACACTACCGAGAAAAAAGAATATATGCCATCTTACATTGATCTATCTTCAAGCATGCATTTTGTGTTCTCTGTTTCCCACCTGTGCCATCTTCGTGCTTAAAGGGAAAATCTGTCTCCATGTTTCCCTCTCCTTCTCTCTTGATGCCTTTGCTTGTTTTTCTTTTTAAACTCATTAATATCCCATGTTTAGGACTCCCAGCTAGTGATAGACTGCTTCAAATCTGGTTTTGAACCTCCTGGAGATTTTCCATTTGAAGATTACAGTCAGAATATTTACAGAACTATCTCTGATGGAACCATCAGTACACCAAAGCAGGAAGGAATGAGAATTGATTCAAAAACTACAGTGGGCAAGGCTAAAGGAAAGCTGTGGCTGTTTGGAAAGAAGCCAAAGGTAACAATTTTGAAATTACTATTTGGAAAATTAAAATGTAAAGATTCATGGAAGCAGCAATTATTTATTTTACTATAACTTTCCCCTTGCCCTCCACTGTCCTTTTGAAGATGTACAAAGAGATCTGAAGGTTTGGGTAAGGTTGGATATTTATCACATTAAAAATGGGGAAAGCTTTGCAATTTTTCTTCTAGTCATTTGTGTCCTGGAATGTTTTTTATTAGGTATTTGATATTCTGCATGGGTTTAAATAGTGTAAATAAAAGTAGCTTCCAATTTCTGTAATTTCTAAATGGCCATAATTACTTTTTCCAATTGCGTAGAAGAGTTGTTGATTTTGAATGTCAAAATAAACAAAAAAGGTTGCGAGGGAGAGGTATGGTTTGAAAGTGGGGAGACTTCAGATCTCTTTAATATTACAACAAGCAACCTGCTTTTAACTGTCGTGTTTTATATGTGCTTTTATAGAGGAATATTATATAGATTTTTATTAAACTTGCTAGCTTTGAAAACATGTAAGTTTGTCTGAAGAAATTGAAACTTACAATACCTTACTGATAAGACATACCGTTGAATCTCCGTACACGTAAATATCCCAGAAGGAGTATTACTAAGAAATAAGTAAAAAATATTCCTAAGCTTGATGGAAAAAAATTGAAAGCAGAGGAATTGCTCCTTTCAATTGATGCTTTCTGTGCTAGGTGCCTTCATGGATCGACAAAAAAGGTTTTCAATACAAGCATGAGCTAGCTATATAAATGCAGGTACATGTTTAAATTTTACGCTAGGATTTTAGTTAGTATTAGAACATACCAGAAAGTCATTTTAATGATTCCCTCACATTTCAGTGAGGTTATTTTAACGCTCCAAACCAGTATTTGCCACTTATTATAGAAAACTATTCTTACAGCTCATTAGTGGTAGGATTTTTTTTAACCAATTGATATTGTTCCAAGCAAGCAGATCTCTACATCTCCTTCTTACTGTTTGTTACGTAACTGCAGCTGTGTTGAAATGAAAATCGATTGTTTACATCTCATGCAGCACAATTAATGTTTGATAGTAGCTTATCATTTCAGTGCATTAGTATATTTATTGCGTTTGGCTGCAGAGATGGGTGGGATTTAACCTGTTCTGAGATCACGACTACTAGTTTGGTAATAAGCCATTTTCCCAAGAATTTTGTCCTCCTTCTGTGGACAGTGAAGCAGCGAAAATCTAAATTGGTTTACAGTCTGAATGCTGGCTTTTACTGCAGTTAAAAGAAATTCCTTTGCATGATGATAGATGAAGAAAGCTGACAGTATTTTTTTTTCCTACTGTTTTTTTTTGGTACATAGCATTCAGAGACTCACTCCTACTGTTTCCTATATGGAATCACAGATGTACATATATGTATATGTACTACGTGCACCTCTTCCTGAAATACCTAGAGGAAATGGAAGATTATGTCCATTTTTTCTCCTACTTTTCTGGGGAGGGATGGATGGATACACTTCAAAAAAGCAGCAGTTGGGAGCAAAATATCTATATCTATATATATCTATATATATAATATTAAAATCTATATTGTAACAGAAAAATACAATTGTAAATATTACTGAAAATTTAAGAAATACATTCTTTTATTAGCTAATATAAGGACACCATCACACACACACACACAAACGCTTATTTACTGTAAATGGGATATTTGTGGTAGCATTTGGGCCTTCATTTAACTGGAATTATGGCTGGTCTTGGCTTCCAGATGTACATTTACCTATTTTTGATGTTACCAGATAGAAAAGCCTTTTGGAAAGGGTATTAATTGTGCAGCAGAGGAAACAGAAAAATTGAAATGGGCAAAAGCAGCAGGGGTATAAGAGGAAAAAATGAGAGAAGCAATTTTTTAAAAGGGGGGGAAGAAATCAGAGAAAGCTCTAGGGATTATGTTGATTAGGAATGCCGTTCAGCCATTATTTAAGTCCAATTTGACTACAGAGATTGAGTATACTTATTTTTTAGTCATTCTCTATACATACATGTAGTATTTCTGTGTACATAGCTTACCTGGTAAGGTGAATCAAAATGTATTGATTCACCTTACTGTTCACCTGGTAAGGTGAATCAACATGTGAGCAGGAATGCACAAGCTTCCAGAATGACTCTAACTAAGGTTCATTTAATTCATTTGTAAGGGAAAAGAAGAATTAACTGTTCTAAGAGAGGATATAAACAACTTCAGAATATTTTTTGGATCTTGTGGAAGTTGAGTCTAAAGCGTTCTTGAATATTCCTTCATTCTCTGAACCAACCTCTAACTCTGAAGTTGTCATGAAGATTCATGACAGAAACCTTTTAAAAGCAATGCAGTTGTAGTGTAAATGTGTCTGTGGAACGTTACAAGGTGTTTCTGTGTTGGATGGAAATTTTATAAGACAGACTTTTCATTTTAAAATCACTTTGAACATTTGGCTTATTTATTGCTTTCTTTATTTCCACATTAGCCACAGTCCCCACCCCTAACCCCTACTAGTTTATACACATCCAGTACTCCTAATGGGTCCCAGTATCCCATATTCTCCATTGAACCAGTGCATTATTGCATGAGTGACATAAAAACAGGGAAGCCCAGAATTCCTTCTTTCAGAAGCCTCAAAAGAGGGGTAAGTTGGATAACAAGTTGAAATGCATGATGGGCTATGAGCAGTGTGTTTGTGATGTGGCTTTTCTAATGCTCTTCACCCTCATTATAAGGCTTACTCTGTTTAAAGTAACACTTCAGCTACAACGTCACTTTCAGAATACTTCTTTTCATATTACATAGACCTTACCAACATATTAAAATTAAAACAGAAATACCCTTTACAACATTCCAAATACTGGTGCCTAAAATAAAGGTTTTATAAAGAGGGTGCTCAGCATGTGTTTTGATACCTTTTTTCATTGTTGTTCACATTCACAAATGTTTTCCTACCATCATGGAACATAGTTTTGCAGTAATTTATCATTGGGTATATATATAGTCACTATAAAAATCTGACAGATCACATCTTATTGCTGACTTTTAATTGAAATAATAGTAACTGTTGACAAGACTGAACTAAGAGAAGTTTTGTTTATCTTTTGTATATCAAAGGCTACAGCACATGGTGCTTGCAGATTTTGAAATAGTGAAATATTTTAACGCATTTTATGATTGATTGTTTTTCGTCATCCTAGGTCTGTTTAGGTAAAGTTATTGAAAAATTACTACCAAATGCTGCTTTCTGAGATTAATCAGTTCATTTACTGATCTATAATGGCATAATCTGCAAATAGATTTTGCTGGAAGGCAGTAAAAGGGAATTGTTAAGTGGTTTTCTAGCAACATTTATAGTTCTAGTGTAAATGTACTGGTGCTTTCCTGTTATGTTGGAGAAACACAGGCTGCCCAGTCTGTGTGTGCTATGATATAGATCCACATAATGAGGTAATTGGATGCATTTGATTATATTTAATTCATTAATTGCTCATATTTGAAAACAAAATCAACGTGCTGTCTCATATGCATTGAGAAAGGCTGGATACTGCAGATGTAATGTGGAGATCAATGCACAACAATGTTGTATTGCAGTAAGCAATTCAGAGGCTCTCTTGCTGTCATTCTGAACCAAAATGAGTTATATTTAAAATTTATTCAAATTTTACATTTATTTTCTTTAAGTCATGTTGTGGTATCTTATTTCAGGCCCTCAGATATTTTTGAATAACCATTCTACCACCACCATTTTTAGAAGATTCTTGTGCTCCTCTAAGTGTTTATGGAGGGCAGTTTCTCCTTTCTCCTTCTGAATTACTTGTGTTGTAATTTATTTTGGTCATGAAGATAATGTTCCTTCTTTAGCACTCAATGTAGAATTTGATTGTACAGTTGCTGAAATAGCAGAGATTTTGATGACACCATTTTTTTGTTTATCAACACCTGGCTCACAAATCAATACCTTACAATATTAGTAGTTCTAGAATCTCTTACTGAAGCAAAAGATCATCTCCTAGCAACTACACAATGCCCATGGAAACTGAAACAGTATTTTAATTTTTTATTCTTAGTAATTCATTGATCATGCTGTAAAACTGTGAACTTAATACACAGTACTCTGTAAAATTAACATGGATTGGCAGTGTCATACAAATCTGGATTAATTCAAATATCCCACAGTATCAGATACTTTAATCTCTATAAATCTTTGAGATGAACACTTCATGTTTTATTTTGAAATACCTTGCAAATATTTTAATAGGTAACACATATATCAAGTGCCTTGAAATGTATACTGTAATTCTAGTAGATTGTGTGTTACGGATCAGATTTATCTTTTTAATACATCTTGAGTCAGTGATAAGTAGATGCTAGCATGATTCTGTTTTGTCCCTGGAAAATGATGTCCAAGTAGTACTGACGGGAAGAACTGTCAAATGGTATTTTAATTTGTTTTGGCTTCTACTGAGATTTATCCATGAGTTGCCATATACCATATAATAAGCATACTGGTTATTTTGTTTTACATGCCCTGTATAAGATGTCACTCAAGGCACTAGAAATTGCAAAACCAGACTGTTATCATTCCGTACTTCGTGCATTAGATTTTTCCTGTCACATGCTGTATAGAGAAAGCAGCACACAGTAGCTTAAGTTGTGACTCTATATAAAAGTAATAGGCTGTTGAAAAGTCTTAAGTGCAGCTCCTCCTTTCGTTTATTAGTACTGTTATTCTTTACTGTTTTTCTTTGAAGTCTTAACATTTCCAGGTAGTGTTAGTGCTTGTGAGAGGTCTTTGCTCAGTGCTACTTGATACATCAACGGATATGTTGTATACATAAAAGTAGTTTGTTCTTATAGCCATTTTATGTCTGTCCTGGTTTCAGTTAGGACAGAAGAGGGAGGAGAGGAGAGGGAGGGTGAGCGAACGGCTGTGTGCCAGGTTAAACCACAACAGTGTCTTTGGACTTTATTGAGGTTTCTACCATGGTAACATTTGCAAAGGAGTGTCATTTTCTTTATGGCTAGAAATTCCAATTTGAAGTGTGTTCTCTAATCAACTGTCACAACAATTGTTGAAGGTCATAAATGATGTCACAGGTAACTGTATTCTAAGTTGCTTGGCCTTCCTCTGGAAAGGCTTGTACCTAGGTCATTGATCTTCCAAATGCTGTGACATGTTAAGCCAAAGATTTGACACCTGTCTGTTTTATTTGCTTCCTCTAAGGATGAACTTATCACTCTCTAAATGGCTTTATTTTAATCTAAGTAAAACATTTTTAGGATAGCAGCAATCAAATGCGCTGTTTTCAGAAAGTAAAATTATTCACTTAAAAGGTCTTTGTTTATTGTAGTTCTGCTTTGATAATAAGGTAAAACACTTGGTAAAAATTACCTTTGTAAAATTGATGGTAGTGGATTGTTAGCTATAATTAACAAAATATTTGCATATGGCTGATCAGTCCTTCATCATCATTGAATTCTGCTATTTTGTGTGTTGTTGGCTGTGTGTTCGTTTCTTCTCCCACAACAGAAGTTCATTAAGCATATTATTTGAAGCACTAAAATTCAAAATTTGTTCAATGAATTTGTGTATTACAATTCTGTAAGTTAAACTACCCGTTATCACCTAGTGATATTTTTAAAATCAGTAATGCTTAAAGCAGAAGTGCATTTCTGATTATTGTAATTTGCTGTTCTTGTGCTCATAGTAAAATGTTTTTTTTATAATTTTTAAATTTTAATCTTTAAAAATATTTTAAAGATATGGTTTTAGGCATTAATCATTTTTGTAACTGGTCGTTGCATGTGAATAATTTCCCGTTTCTTTCTGTTTTCAAATGAACTGTGCAGTGGTCGGTGAAGATGGTAAGCCCGTGTGCTGATCTGTCTGCTGTACTTCTGCTAAGATAGCATGAAAGTAATCTTTTGAAAGTGTTTCCATATCATAACTGCTAAGTCAGGTGCTGAAATGCATCTCCAGACTTTCCACTCTCATACACAGTCATGTTCTTACTCATCCATGCTTAATGTGAGATAATTAGATATGATCCAGCTGCAACTAATTCTGTGATTTTGGAATTTTAAGGTTGACCAGTATTCATCAGCTGGTGATAATGGAAATAAAATAAAATAGCAGCATAAAATAGTTATACAAAAAGAGTACAAAACTTGTTTAAAAGAGAAATATTGAATACTGCAATATTCACTCACTTGAATTTAACCAAACATTTGCAGGGGAGATGATCTTTTATGTTCAGGAGTATTAGAAAGCTTTTATATTTGAAATAAATTAGGCTTTTATAAATTAAAAGCACATCTTAATATTATTATTTTGCAGAGTAGATCAGCAAAATTCACATAAGTAAGTGTTCTTCTGATTATTACTGTAGGAAAGGTAGTTTTAACTAATATTTAAGGAGCAATCACACAGAGGATGTGATTATCTTTTTCTTTCCCTGTAGCATGTAAAAGCACCTGAAAAGACTTTTCCCCAGAAAGAAGAGCTCTTGCTTTATTTTGGAAACAACATATCTTGATTATTCATCTTTTATGGTGTCTTGTATTCCCTCCTTAAAAAGTAATTAGATGATGATTTTACAAGTGAAAAAGAACCAGGAAGTTGAGGGGCAAGAAGACCTTAAGAGGGGGACATATCTAGAATATTGGAATTAGCATCTGAGCCTAAGGCTGCTTGTATTAAGATCTTGACAGCTACGTTTCTATCAAATTTCCTCTTGTGAAGAGAAATGTCAAGTTCAGTTTACCTCTGAGGAGGGTTTCTGTAATGGCAAGCAGGTTTCTTGGGCTAAAAATAACTTTCTTATGCAACTAGCACAAAAGTAATGTAACTTTCTCTTATTAATAAGTGTACTGTATTTCCTTCTTAAAAAGTAGTGTAGGTGTCTGTCACCCAAAGGAAGAGTTGGCACAACATATTCACAGGATATGTAAAAATTTCTTCCCATTCCTCATACACACAAGTCCTTCCATTCTTCATATACACAACTAACCCTGGCACAAGCTTAGACTATAACAATAATTGGTCTTAAGTGTAAAAAAAAAAAGGGGGGGGGGGTGAGGGGATTATGTATGAAAAGTAACTTTTTTTTCCTCACTGAAGCATTCTTTTTTATAATTAAAAAGGTGATGTAGAATATTTAACCAAGTTTTGACTCACTAAGAAATTTAAGTCATAATTTTGATGGTACAAATTTTGTGCTCTGTCAACTGGTTTTATGCTAGGTAAAAATGTATCACAACTTTGTAAGTCTAATTGAGATTCTTGTAATATGTTCTCTAGCAAGACTGATGAACTTCTGAAAGGGAATTACAATGCTGTTTTGTAATGAAGGTCCAAATTACGGTATTCTTCTTTTGACAGCATCTAAATAGCCATAGAAAACATAATCCTAGGAAAGAATCAATTATGTACACACTATTATTATATACACAACTGAGACTTTTGTTCTGACTGAAATTACTGTTAGTAATTAATTCTGATTTTGCTAAATCTGAATTAAGGGTAGTAGATATAACAGGGAGGTTCATGGCTCAGCTTTTCAGACTAATTATTATTAAGCCTAGAAATTACTAATTATAACCCTGAGACACCTATTGCAGAAGGCAAAATGAACCTTAAATGAGTGACTACAAGCTGGCACCAAAAGCTTGCATTTATTCTGTTGTGGTCTTTTAAAGAGCTGTGCGTCAAGTAGAGAGTTTTTAAGAAGGTCCATCCTGCTTCCAGTGACCGCTGTTCATGTGTGGGTATGTCAGTTCAGCTGTCTCAATGTGTGTGTGCTGTTTCTTTAATAGCATTCATATTTGCAGGGCCCTGCACTAGAAGACTTCAGCCACCTCCCTCCAGAACAAAGGCGCAAGAAACTGCAGCAGAGAATTGATGAACTCAACAGAGAACTACAGAAGGAAACTGACCAAAAGTGAGTGCATTTTTTTTTTTTTTAGAAGTTCATCATGGGTCTCTCTATGTCCGTTTCAATTGAAGTCCTCTGCTTAAGCCAACAGCTCTCAGACATTAGGAGAGAATATGCTATTACAAGCTATTACAAAGCATTTTTAGTGGATGCTTTGTTTTATGTAGGTTGTTATCATCACCTCCTCCTGCTGCTTCACTATAATACATATTTCGATCCTAATGTTGCATAGGAAACATTGGATCTAAAAGCATGCCGTTAAAGAAAAAAATCACTGCATAGGTCTGTTGAGCAAGAGAGCTGCAGCTTAGTGCACTATGAAAAGAACATAATTAATATTTAGGAAATTGTGTATAACAGTACAGACAACAGTGTTGACAATACATAGAGAAGAGTTGACAGTTGGATTCCTTCCATGCTAAACATGACATGAAAAAGTAAAGCAAAATGTTAAGATGACAGAATGGGAAAAAGAGTTAGGTGTGTTACAGGGAGCTGTAGTTCCTCAGGTCTGTGCTTAGGATCTAGGAACTCTAATCATGGGTCAGGCTCTCATATACCTAAATATTATTTTAGCTTTAATGAACCAGTGCAGATGTTTGTAATTGTATAATTATTGTGGGGTTTTGTATACTGTTAGAGATGCCCTCATCAAGATGAAAGATGTTTATGAAAAAAATCCCCAGATGGGTGATCCAAGCAGTCTGCAACCAAAATTAGCTGAGACAATGAGCAACATGGACCGTCTTCGGATGGAAATACACAAGAATGAGGTGAGAATCTAAAACAATTATTCAGAAAATATAAATGAATGGTAATGGTGTAGTTTGCTTTATGGGTTATAAATGTTGCAGTCGTGAAACTACTTGGTTTATTTTAACAACAAGCTCCCAATACAGTTGTCCCTAGGGTATGCTATTTTCAGGTATGTTAGTCTAGCTAGAATAAGGGTATACTTTATTAAAGATGCAAACTGTTATGAAGAGTTTATTAATTACTTATTCTGCAATTCATAGGAGATTAAAGGTTTTTTTTCCTTACTACCTAACTCAAGTATGGAGCATAGGCTAAGCAGAGAGGATTAGATTAATACTTCATATGGAAATAATTACAAGATTTCATGTGTGAATGCAGTTTCTTTGTGGCTGTGTGCTGACAACTAAACAGTGTGCAGTTAAGTGCATTTTTGAAATGGTTCTTGCTGGTTTAGAATCAACTTTTGTCTTGAAACCAGTATTTGTCTTTTTTTTTTTTTCCCCCCCAGGCCTGGCTCTCTGAAGTTGAAGGTAAAGTAGCAGCCAGAAGTGACAGGCGGCACAGCAGTGATATCAACCACCTCGTAACACAGGGCAGAGAGAGGTCATTATTCTATCTCTACTGCTTTCTTATCTTATGCTAGAATCAATACATTTGTCTGATAGTTAAGAGAAGGTGATGGTTATTCCTTATCCTCTGAAAGTTTATTTTTCTAGAGGAAAATCTGACTGGTTCTGAGCACTAGAGCTCACTTCACATCATTACAGTAGCACAGAAAAATTGAGTCTAATGAAAACAACCACTCATTAAATACCAGTGTCTCTTAAAGTGAACTCTTTCCATTCCATAAGGCTCATCAGTTTTCCGTGTTTTGTAGAGACAGGTATGTCAAAGTTATGTGTTTTTGTAGCAGAATTCAGTCCAAAACCTTTGTTAGATCAAAACATTTTCAGAAAATCACCTCCAGGAGCAAATATAAACACTGTTAACAGGCCTTCCCAGAACAATATGGTCTTACCCTTCTGTGATGCAGGTTCGGTGTTTCAGAACTAAAAACTCCGAAGAATCCTCACATTCCAATCATTATATTACAGCCCTGAAGGGAGTTACACGGATGATGCAAATCAGGAAGGTCGAGGCCCACCACAGCAGCATGCACATCCAAATGAATTTGATGATGAGTTTGAAGATGATGATCCATTACCAGCTATAGGACATTGCAAGGCAATATATCCCTTTGATGGTAAGGTTGACAACATACACTATGATTCCTTCAGTAAAATGTATGGATTTCTTTTGTTACAGAGAAGAGGTAAAATGATTTAAAGTAAATTAAGTTTTATGAGTAACTAGTTGCTTATAAGATCTGTGGAAATATTTTGTAAGCAAGCTTAATTCATACGCAGTACTTTTCTGCTGTTTTAACATAAATATTAGCACAGCTACTGGCAAATATTCAGCTTTACAAATAAGACGAGGTTTTCATCTGCAAGCCTGTTTGACCATATGTTCTCTTGCACAGATTTTTTGATACTTCCTGTTTATATATAATCTGTAAACTATGGTCTGGAAAAAAGACTTGAAATTCTGTCTGCACATTAAGACTTCTTTGCCTTTTGTTTTCCCAGGTCATAACGAAGGCACTCTAGCAATGAAAGAAGGGGAAATTTTATACATTATTGAGGAGGACAAAGGAGATGGGTGGACAAGAGCTCGGAGACAAAATGGAGAGGAAGGCTATGTACCAACGTCATATATAGATGTAACGCTAGAGAAAAACAGCAAAGGTGCAGTAACCTATATCTAACAGTAAACTGGCAGCTTACAAGTATACATTCCCCGGGGAAAATAGTGGACAAATAGTAAGTCACACAGGTTCATGGAAAGCATTAGAATAACAGAAGTGAGGAGGGGCCTGTTGTTTGCAATGTGAGTTTGCCACAGCATTTTCATATATGACAGCATTAAATTGGTCTCCAGTTTTGGCCAGTGTTTTCTACTTTGTTTCACTGTTCCTGCTCTACAGAGAACTAAATCCAATTCAACTATTAAATGGAGAAAGACCAGGATTCCTGCTTGTTCTACACAATACTTTGGTTTTATAGAAAACTGAAATTTAAGTTTTAAAGACTTCTAAGATGTGCTGTTCCCATTTCTTAATTTAAACTATATATTTAAACCAGAGGTTTTTTTCCTCTAATAACTAACTGAACTTGGTTACTGAAAATTATTAATTTCCTTCCTTAGCAAATACTTGGCAACTTTCACCTCTTAAACAGGAAAATTTTTTCTGATTCTAAAAGCTCAACAGAGCTACTCAGGAAGAAACAGTATGATTAAAAGGACAGAAAGTCCACTGACCTGTGTTTCTCCTTCCCTTTCTGTGGTTGTAAAGTAAAATGTTGTGTACAGAACACAACTTAATGATTTTAACTCTAGATACCTTAAACCTAAAGAAACCCCACCAAAACTGAAACACTACCAAAAAATCAAACAAGCCAACACTTGTAATTGTTGATGATGTTTCACTGAATTTTAAGCTCTCTGCTCCGGAAAAGGGAATGATTTTATGTTCTTAAGTTGTGCCTATAAGCTAAGTCTTTGAATTGCATAATGTTTAGTTTGAAATCAAGCTCTTGAATGTACAGTAATTAATTCCCTCACTGTTAATCACTGAGGTTTGGAAACTGCATTGCACTACTTGATTACTAGAGAAAAAAAAAGAAAAAGAAACTAAGCTAAAAACTAAAAGCTTGTATTTGTAATGTTGATTTGTGGAAATAATACAAGGCTAATGAATAGCCACTGAGAATGGCCTGTTAGATCTGAGCACACTTCTCTGTCTTCTAAAGGCCTTCAGTAACTTTGTTCTTTTCTTTTTCCTCTTGGACTGCAGGTTCCTGAAGCGGGTTTCTGAGAAAATGGGCGAGATCTTGAAGGAGGTTACATGCAGCTGCTTGGGGCGGGGGGTGGGGGGGGAAGGTATTAGACTGGGAGGCCCATTAAACAAGGGGAAAAGCTAGTTGCATGAATGCATGCAGACATACATTTAGTCACTAACATTCTTAGCATTTCCATACATAATTAAGGATGCATTACAAATTCTTAAATTCGTGCAGGAAAATAGCATTTCTTTACCAGAGTAAAAAGGCAACTGCTCCTAAATTTTTTTGTTTTCGTTGTCATAGGTGGTCCGAAGGGCACAAACTAGATTTTAGCTTGTGCAACATTTTGGTCATCTCATTTATACTTTTTTCCAACTCATGTAATTGACAGTCATTTAGAACCATGTCAGTTACCAGTCTGCCTGTGCCACCTCCATGCTCGCCCTTAACCTCCTCTTGCATGCCTAGGACAGTCGGGCATGTCTGTGTAACACTTTTTTGACATCATTGCTTTTCTTATTTTGTAACAAATCATTCTGTTTAAATATCTTCAGCACTAGAATTTTATCCCAGTATCCATGTATGCTGCTATAACTTTTCCACTGCAACCATCATTACATTCCAGTTTTTGGCATAACTGATAAGAGATGAAATATTTATGTTGATTTGGGGAAATAATACATCTCAGCTCTACTCTACAATCCAGTCAAGAGAAACTCCTAGACCTGTAGTCCATCTTCAGCACTTCAGTAACCTACTGTGCGCACTGAAAACCTGGAACACCACCAGAGATTCACCACTGCAAGCTAATGACTGTTTTCAGAAGTCGACTGCTTGCCATTCAAATGCTGCCTTAAACTAGAGTGCCTAAATCTGTTGTTTGCCAACACTACCACTTACAGTATCTCACAAAGGGCTTTGTGTCTCAGCTCTTTCCACAGTGCTGCAGCTGCTGAGGTAGCCACGGTAGGTGTTTTCTAGAGTTCTACATTACAGGATACATGGTGCATCATGACTTTTATACATTGGGACGCATATCTCTTAATTTGACTTTAATATTTTAAAAAATATTTTTATGGAACCTTTTAGTTTTTGACTATGAAGTTCCCATTTTAATTACTGCAGTGCTAGTCTGTTTCCAGGTGATGCTTCATTGTATGGACCTGTTGAAATTTGAGTGATACTTTGTAATGATCTATGTGCACTTTTACTTGTAAACAATTGAAATTTGGATATGTTTATACGTGTAAATATAGTTGTCTGCAGTGCCCCTATTGCTTATGTTGTCTTGCCTCCCATTTGTGGTTCTATTAATAACTACATCATATCTGATCTATTAGGGTGATAAGAATTAGACTAGCAATGTTGGGCAGGGGTGGGAGGGATACTTGCATCAAACAAAGCTTGTCAGCCCAGCCAACTGCTGTTTGGGGAAATGAAATAATAATCAAAACATCCTGTTTTCCTGGGGTCTGAAGCAATATTTGGATGCAGCAGTGCTGGATTCTTTTTAATTTCAGTGTTATTAGGAACTGTACTATGAGTAAAACTGAATTTGAGTGACTTGTGTAGAGGTTTATTCCTTTTGTTATGTATACCACTATTACACAGCTTGACCTAGTGTATTATGGGGGCTATTAAACTCTAAAGTTTAGATTTTTGGAGCTTGTATACAGGGTTATTTATATAATAATGTGACAATACTCAATACTGACAAAACTACTTAAGTAGTTTTTGTTTTTGTTTTGTTTTAATTAGTGCTTTTTTATTTTAAAGCTAGAAGTTGGAAATGTGATCTGTGTATTTTCTGCTAAAGGGCCTGTGGTTTGTTTGCCTGGCTAACAGCCTTGCAGGTCAGTAATAACACTTCCTGGTAAAGGACTGAATGTTCTTTTCATGCTACTGTTTGTTTTTCTAAAACCAGGATTTGCTTCCTTTGGAGGCAGGTTGCTTTCATGAGGGATAGTGCAACTTGTTATGAGGGTTATTAAGCATAGGAAAAAAGACATCTGTCCTTGCGTAGCTAGTTATAAATCACTTATTCTAAAATTTTGAACGTGAATTGTCTTAATGAATCTTACATTTTCTAGTAATTTTTCATCTTTTTTTTTTGTGCACATGTTGATTTCTTAAATGTTAAATGCTCTGTTTTAAAATAGTGTTCTCTGTTGAGAATATTTTCATGGAATAAAAAATCTTTTCATGGTCTAAATAATTAGTTTCAACCTTTTTTCTTCTATTAAGATTGACAGGGAGACTTAGAGCATCCCGGCCTAAACAGGAAGTTTGTAACCTGCTGTTGTGGTTCTAGAACCTTGGCACTGATTACAGATGGTGGGAACAGAATGCTGCCCTTTTGGTATTGGTCATTTTTCTGGTTAGCCTACTCACTATTCCGGCACTTTCAAATGCTGTAACATCTCACTCCAGAAGCAGGCATAATGACAAACAGTAAATTCAACACTAACCATAGTTCTTGCCTAAATATTTGTACAACTTCTGAGAACACTGAATCTGTATTTGACGAAGTAGAATTTGCTGCTAAAGCATTTTTTATGTAAACATCATACACCCTGATTATCTATGAAAAGTGCTAACAACTTACCTTTTACTGTCATCCAAGAAAAAATGTAAGTACTGCTTATCAAAATGATTCACATTCATAGATGATGAAGCAAGTTTACCATATACATACACCCACATTTAGTCGTATTGGAAAGCATTTTAATCATCTGGATTATTTGTTCTCACCATTTCATCATTCATTTCCTGGCAGCATAGCTGTTGTACAGGCTCCAGTAAAAGCCAAAGTCCTACAGATTGTCTTAAAAAAAAACACTTTAAGTTGTCCCATCACATACACAACTAATTTTCTACTTTCATAGGTAATGTGAAATTTAAGCCTTCTTTTGCAGTCACAGATCATTTCTTCAACCACAGTATGCAAATAATTTTGCATAAAGATAGACTTTAATTCACAATTCTGTACATGGTGTTTTGTACTCAGTTAAGGAATATTATACAACTGAAATTTTCTGCAGTGTCACATAGTTAATCTATCACTTCATTTACACTATTTATTTGCTTCATTTTAATATCATTAAGAGGCTGATGCCCCTCATTGTAGACATTATGAAAACATTGCAACACTAGAGAAATACGGAAAGCTGTAAAACTATCTTACAGGGATAACCTACCTGTTTAAAAAGATTATTAAATGACTTGGTGCCACAGTAAATAAATAATTTGTTTTAGAAATCAGTAGTTTTAAAACAAGTGTGCATTGTGCAGTTAAAAGTTCTAAACATCTTGTGAAATGCAAGAAGTTTGTGCAGTATCAATTTACCAAAAGAAAACTATGGTTATTTCAAGTATATCACTTAATAGTGTTTAGAGTCTTAGATATGTAATTGTTCCACCTGCTTCACCAGAGGAGGTTCCAGTTTTCGGGAAAGTGCAGTTAAAATCTGGCTGAATTTCTCATATCTTTCATTTTGATTAACTTGTGCTCCTTTGCTGCCCCAGAGCAATCTCATCTGAAATTCTGTCTTGAAGATTTCACTCATCTCTTCATCTGGTTGGAAGCCTAGTAAGTAAAAAAAAAATCCCACAGTATCACCATCAAGCAAGTTTTTTTTTTACTTCGAAAAAAATGGCTTTTAAATTGCATTCCCTCCAATTAAGATAAGCTTTAGTGCACTGGTTTCTTTTGCACAATTCTTTTAACAAGCTAGAAGACTGGTGAAACTCTTTTCCTTTTGTCATATTCCAGTACCATTCAACTACTGGGATAGGCTTTCCTAGACCAACTGTTATGGTCTAGAATAGTCGTCATAGCCTGTATATAATTGTCATTATAATCATAGCCTGTAATTACTGATGTCTACCTGCTGCCTGCAGAAGTACTTACATGTCTTCCCCTTCTCAACTTTTTCACTGCAAGTTTAAATTACAGTCATATTACTAACACATTGCTGCTTTCTGGCTGCAAACAGTCAAGATCTTGGTGTTGTATCTTGGTCTGCTGGTAAAGAATTTTACTGTGGTGATTTATTTGCAAAGATAGGAGTAGGAATTTTAATTGTACAAAAGGCAATGTTATCCTCTGTCCTTCCTGTACTTACATTCAGTTGCTAGAAGATTGAGCATATTAAGTCCTGAGACCTTGGAGAACATTTAGCAGAAATGTATACTGTATTGCTTATTGTAGAACTATAGTGATGACTAACTTGCTGTCTGTTTTTAAACAGTATCCATGGTATCCCTAGCCTACGTTTCCCGCAGCACATTTGCTACCATCTCAGCTTCCATGAAAGCTGAGATTTTATTGCAGTAACTTCTATTGTCACTTAAGCTAAGATCTTATTCTTCAGACATAACCCACACATTCTGTTAACGTGCAGAAGCATCTCCTGCTGGTGCTCCCTACCTTCCAGCATACGTTCTGCGGTCAAGCTGTACATTTCTGCGTTCTGTGCTATTTGTCGAGCTGTGATCAAGTGCTTGAGCATTATTTCACAGCTTTGGTCACTGCTTTCCCATAGGTCCATCCCTTCAAAAATGACAGCTTGTCGCTCCATTAAGGTAACAAGAGGCATCAAGAGTGGCACTGTTACGTTGTTCTGTGGAGAACTGATCATCTCTGGAATACAGAGTAACATACCATATCATCAGACATTGTAAAAGTGCTAACTGAAGAAGGTGGTATAATTGCAATATTCTTTTCAAAGTCAGAAACTGGTATTTGTCTCCTACTTTTCCTATTAGCACCTCACCTCAGATGCACCTGTCCTACAAGTTTCCAGTAAGTTGCTGGGGTTGGGGAAGATAGCCAGGATAAATTAAGTGTTGGAGAACTGTAATTGCTACAGGAGAAGGCTCTGCTGAAATATTGGTGGCACAGAGATTTTAAACGTGTTTAGCCACAACACAGGCTGTGGGAGCAGGAAGTATTCCTTCTCTAACCATTCTCGTAGCCACAGAAATGTTCAGAGAAATATTACCTCCCCCTTACACCCCTATGGAGACTAGGGCTGAAAAAAACCAAACAAACAAACAAAAAGACTGATGCAGGAGCAGTTGATGTGATCAGAGGAATTATCTGACTAACCCATTCTTTGTATTTCAGAATTCATCTTCTGATCCTATAGGCAAAGCTTATAAAAAGCAAAAGCTGCCAGAAAAAACCTTTATCTTCCCTGTATAGGATGAGGGAGATTTTGTCCCGTCTTTGAAGCAAGATGCTGCAGAGTCATTCCTCTCAGTTTCTGCTCTGCTGCATCTTCCACAGAGGTGGGCATGGGGTTGAGCAGACATGTTACATTCACACAATGCTACATTCTACATGGATGCAGGCATACAAGCACATGCTCTTGTGTGGCTGGCAGACTGTTTCCTTCTATTTCATTGTTTCATTCTATTTCATTAATCTACATTGTATAAGGTCATGTAGTCAATTTATGATACATGGTTATGAAACAGCAGTTGCCTCAGGTCCCTCCACCTGCAAGTGGTAGTGGGGAGAGGTAAAAATCTAAACAGAAAACAGTATCATTCTTGCTCACTCTTCCACTCACCTTGTCCTTCATGCAAAGCTTTGCTAAACGGCTTCAGCTGCTTTTCATACATAATGGCAGTCTGAGTATAATGATGTCTTAAAGAGGTCCAGGTTTGTTCTAACCTAGTGACCTGTTCAAATGAAATAGGAATATCCATTTTTTTACTTCAGTAATTCACAGAAGAAACACTGCTACTGTGTAAATTAGTTAAAATGAACCAACAAACAACTCCATGTTTTGGAACATAAAGTGAAAGCAGATTTTTACCTGTGGCATTTCCAGTGCTTTCATAATGGCAGAAAACGCATACAAATCCCCCAGCGAGTCCTTCAGCTCCACTGCGACTTGGATGATCCTGTTTAATGTTGCGGCTCTGTCTTCTAGATTTCCTGTGCAACCCAAGATATCCACAGCTATTCCTATTGCCATAGTATTATGCCTGCAAGTGAAACAATTTGTACTGCTGGTTATTAATTAGTAAAATAATAATACATTATGCTATACATTAATTCAGAGAAGATCAATTCAAAGGTTTATTTCAACATTTTGTACCTAGCAAACATTCTCATTTGCTCTTCTTAAAAATATCTTTGTATCAAGAGCAGCAGTGCCATTACACAGAATATATGTTTTTCCAAAATTATGTTCTAATACATTCTCCTAAGATACTAATTACTATTGTGCAGCCAGATCTCTTGTGGTACTCTGTTCAAGGAAGGTAAAACCTGGTTAATGGCCTGCCAGTGTTGTAGGATAGTAGTTGTGAAGTCCACTCAACAGTAAGCACAGATCATGACTGACTGCCTGAACTAGCCAAATGCGTTACTTTTAATTTCACTCCACACTTGAGTATGTCAAGCACACTTTATAGCATGCTAGCTGGCTGGCTATCCCTCACGTTTTGAACACAAAGTTCTGCTTTTTCAGTTCAGTCATGCGATGAATGACTGAACCCTGTAGAAAACAGCTCCACCCAGTTCCTGTTGTCCTCCACACAAATCTTGGGATCTTCCCCCTAAATTTCAGCAGCTGAACTACTGAAATCTGAATCAGAGAAACTAGATCAGGATAGAAGATGCTAATTATTACGCCTTAACTTGTGCAGAGGCTTTACAGAAAACTGCTGATCTCTGGTGGCTTTTTTTTTTGGATTGTTTTTGTGTTTTACTTTAAGGGCAGTTCTTCTGCCCTTTTCCCCAGTTGCAGAAGAATATTATCTTCATTCTATACCACAAACACATGCTCAGATAGAACATAGGTCCTCTGAACTTTACCTAAAATCCAAGTGCTTAAATGAGAGCTGAAGATGTTCAGTAAATCTAGGACCCTGCTTTCCATACCATTTGCCTTTCCCTATATTACCAGGATGGAGTTGCCCTATGATCTCAAGGAATTTATTTTTGCCAAAGAAGTGATAAAATATCTCACTAAATTATCTTCTGTACACATGAATTTAGAAAACCTTGCAAGAGTGCATTCTTTGAGGAGATGTTGAGTGCAAAGCAGCAATGCCTTCAACTTCATAGGCCCTGTGTAACAGGAACATTTACCTTTCAATTAGGTCCAGGCGCAGTTGGTGTCCGTAAGGCAGGGTAATCAGTTCAAGACCAGAGTTCACTCCCATAAGCCTCCTTATTTCTTCAGAAACTCCCAATATCCTTGCCACCTGACAAGTGCAAAAATTTGTGTTTTAGTTTTGAAACTTTTTTTAAAATAACAACAACAGAACTACCACAAACCTGCCCACATAGAGGCACTCCAGGCTAGAGCAGGACACACACAGCTGAGTGTATAATGTTAGAATAGTCATCTAAGAACAACTTAATTAACTTACGGACAGTTGGTGCATCATATAAGAAGGCCTTTTTTCATCACAAAACTAAAAACGTGTGACCTAAATGCTGTAATTTATGTCTTTCACACCCAGTAAAAATTTTGTATGCAAGCTCCAGGAAATGTGGTGCTCTCTTGTCCTGATGCTTAATCAACATGGTACTGCTTTTTGGCCTTAAAGTACCTGCACATTACACAGTGTGCTTTGCTCTCGTCATTTCTAAAAATACAGCATTGCAGAGAATTGTTGAGTTCACACTAGAGGGTTCTCATAAGGATTAATCAGTAAAAGGACTTTTGGGAGGACACAACATTGAGTGCCTAATGAAGTCAGTATGGAAAGCTGCCACCCTCACCAATTTGTCCTTGCTTTCTAAACAGACAGCATTAGTTACTGGTTATATCTGTAACAATTAGATATGATAATTACAGGCAAAACTAAATTAATATAATGAGAGATTATCTGCTGGATTAAGGGCTGTACATCGACACATTTACAGACCTATCTGCCTGTTATTTCTGATACATCCATCACCAGGCTTTCTTGGTTATGAAAAGATGAAAGCAATCTGTCACAACAAGCCTTGCTGGTGCAAAATCTAGCACTGTTGAGAAACCTGTTTCTCTCCTAGAGAAGCAGGAGTGTGATACAAAGCCCTTGGATACACCCTGATTGCAACTACTTCACAAAGATCCCTCCTCAGGCATCCAGGTGGCAGACATTCACTGCATCACTAAATGAATGGGTGCTTCTTTCACAAATGAAATTTTCTATATACATATGATATATATATAATATATATATATAAATGCCATTATTGAAGAGGAAAACTGAGCTCCTGGTACCACAAGGAGGACTACAAATCTCAGCCTTATCACAGATCTCAGTACAAAGCATTCATTTTGGCCCAGTTCGCATGCCAATCTCATTGTATCATACTGCTCTTATCAGTGCAATAGTATGCAACAAGTCACCAGTGAATAAGTCACTGGCTCTCAGCTCCACGAGAAGACGACAAAATACAGACTTCTCTCTACCTGTCCCAGCTAGTTACTGTTCCTGCTCTAAAATACAAAAATCTGGATCTTTAAGACACTCCAGTGCCTCTTAACTAATTGTACAGGCTCCCACACTACCTACAGGCTAGTTTCCTTGGCCCCATTCCAAAGTTTACACATTTTAAAATAAGGAGATGGTTACTGGAGGAAGGCTGCAAACCCATAGGCTCCCCCTTCGTACATGAGCATCCTGGAGAGCTGCTGTCCTGCTCTAAGCTAACATGCCCCTACACCAAGTTTTTCTGAGTCACCATGTGTCTGAAGCCTCATGTAGCAGCAGCCAACGCTAAATGAGAATCAGATCCACAGCAATTGACAGGAGATTAACGAGATGTATGGAGCACTGAGAATTTGAGTCTAAAGTCAAAGCTGCTGGAAGGCACCTGTAATCCAAAGGACTTTTTGGCCTTGTTCTTCAAATGGAAAAACAAATCCTACCCTAAAAAATCCTGTAAGCAAGTCAACAAATTTATTACACGAGCTGCAAATCTACACATTAATCTTTTCAAATCAATGTTAGGAAAGTCTAAGCTCATACAATATAAAATATAATGAAAAAAATCTTTCTAAAATTACTTTTTTTTTTCTTTTTTTACCTTGCAGTCCATCCTAAGAATATGCTGTGCAATAACCTTTGGATTGTTCTTGGTGAAAAGCTCCTTCACTCTTCTTAACATTGCTGTTTCCAATGGCTTGTTTTCAGGAGGAAGTAGTTTGGATTCAAAATCATTTGGTTTAAAACTAGACACTGTCTCAAAAAGAGGTGCAGAAAACATGCTGTTGTCTTCAGCCATCTCAGTTGAATCTTCTGAACAATCTGCAGAGTTCATTGTAGGGTCATCATCCAGGATCAGATAACTTGTTTCAGAGTTCCTGAATGAGTGTGTTCCCTTCTCCTTTCGTGTCAGATGCTCCACATAGCTGTTTTTCTGACACAAATGTTTTGTTGCTGGAGGATCTCTGGCAGGACTTAGTTCACAATAGTGTCCATCTGAACTGTGGGAAGCCACAGGAGAATCTGGGGCCTTTAGCAGGGATGCTTTGCTGGGTTTCGGTGGAGGCTTTGGACAGAGCTGACTGTCTGATCCTCTAAGAGCTTCCCCTACCTGTGTCTCAGAGGTGACTTTCTGAACACCTGTTGGGCTTAGAGAAGGTTCACTGCCTGTTCTAAATGCAGGAGAGCTTGGACAGGAGTCTGCATCTGCTTCAGGTAATTGAGAAGGATGTCTTGAACCTGCAGAAGAAAACAGAAAGAAAAAAGAAGTTACTATTTTTATGGTACAGTGACTTAGAAGGCCAAAACATATACAATTCCTGAGGAAATCGCCCGCTCATGTAAATTATTCACTGATTAAATGTATGTGAAATTGTATTTTGAGGAAAGAGCTAGCCAGCAAATTCCATTCAGTTGCTGATCCTCCCAAAATCCCAAATACACAGAACAGCTGCACTATAATGTTATTCTGTGGTAATGCTGACAATAACTCTAGTCCCTGCTGCATACATGGGCTATAATGTCAGAGCTGGAGAGCCTCCATGGCTTAGAATAAGAGGTTTCTATGTAACTTGATCTATGCTATAAAAACAGAAACTTCCAGCCATACCACATAAGAGATGAATCATTTCTGAGAATGGTAAGTTTAAGATGAAAGTTTCCCAAAGTCAAGCCTGAGCACGTAGTAAGGTATGGAAGGAATGAATTTCAGGGATGCTCATCTCTTTGCTAAACAGTAGCTGATTTGAAGATCTGAAGAAATAGATTCATATACTTCTGTGTTAAATATTTATGCCTCATACTGTATTCATTGCATACGTAAACCTCAACATCCCATACAAACCTGAACCCTAATTCCCAATCTCAGTTCTCATTGCATTTGCTGGTATCTACAGCTAAGTGGCTTTACTGCTTGTTCCCAAGGAACTGCTCTCAAGGAAACATGGATTTCCATGGAAGTGAATGCTACTTAACAGACCTTTAGAAAGACGTGAGACAATTCTCGTGAAGCACAAGCAAGGACACGAAATACTGTTGAAACAAATATCAATGCCAAGTGTAGCTGTCATTTTTTTGTGTGTGGAAGCCTGCTGAATTGCACACTGAAGTAATGAACTAGCTGGCACGCTGGAAATAAAGAACCTGTTCCTGTACTGAAAGAGCAATCAGTATATTAATTCAGCTTATATAGGCCAATAAGTACTAACTGTATATACAGTACTTAGAACACTCTACAGTCTCACTCTGGTCTGAAGTGTAACAGATCACCTGGGAGCTCACCTGCTTGTGTGTGTAAAACGTGTAATTACAAAACATACCAATCAGCAGGTAGCTCTCCGACTGGTGAGTCTTTAAAGGGAATCTTTTCTCCAGAACATGATCCAAGCTAGCTGGCTGGCTACCACTTTTTTCTTTGTTTCTAGGGTAGACAAAAATGCAAACAAAAACATCAATACACACAACACGAATATATCAATATATCCAACAATCTTAATATACCAATCTAACTGACAGAACATAGCCTAATCATGGCTGAGATCATCAGCTTTCTACTTGGGCAACTTGTAAGATCAGAAAGTACTTCATGCTGGTATGGTAGCAATGAAATGGGCCATATACTGTGTGCACTTCCAGCATTTATGAGGGTGTTTCTTTGAATGCTGAGACGTTTTAATGGAACTTTCAATCTGGACACTGAAATTAGTAGCCATTATCCCATACTTGGTATTTTTATTGCAGCAGGAAAATACAGAAATATTTAGTAAAAAGACTCAAATAAATAAAAAGACTTCTCTGAAGCAGCAAGAGCACAATTTTATTTTAACTCTTCAGTTCATACTAGTCTATATTTGCTAAGCAACCGAAGAACATGTTGCACTCCTGTTGTGCTTCCAGAGTCCACATTTACTCTCACCCTGAACTCCAACTGAATTATTCCTTCCCTCTCTCCAAAAAGCATCAATCTACAAATAGAGAACCAGAGACAAAGCCAACCCTCTGGAACTGCACATGAGCATCTTGTTTTTCCATAGATATTTTCAGAATGCAATTATGCACTTATTTTCCATGCCACTAGAATTTCTTAATTTGCTAGGCTAATCACATATTCAAATGGCCTTCAGGAAGCACTGTTTTGTCATTATTCCAATGCAAATAGCAGGGTAAGAGCTACCCTGTAAAACTGGGGCATGTTCTCATCCACGTAAGGACTGCAGAGTGCAGCCTTGTCATAAAGTCATAGCTTCATCCATCTCCATTTATTTTACCTCCACCATGTATTTTATATTTTCTAAAGATCTAGCACAATAACCACCACGTAGAGAACATCTTAACAATTTCAGGAAGTTTCAAATAAAGGCTCTACAGTATCTTTCGCTAAACATCAGCAAACCCTGACACCTAGTCCTTCCATCTACAGTCAGAATGAAACTTAATATCACCTACACTGGAGCTGATGGAGTCACCTCTTTTCACCTTGTAAGGACAGAAAAATTAAAGTACCTCATAAGATTTCCTCTGGGTATGCTCTGCTCCTGCGACTGCATGCTGGATTTACCAAGGCTCAGTCTTTTTGCAGTTTCTGTTTTTCCTTCAGTTATACCTTGCTCTTTTTGACGGACTGGAGTTACGCCATACTTTTCTTCTAGACACCTGAGAGGTACAGTCCTGTTGATAGGCTGAAAAATAATTGCTCCACTCTGCTTTGATATTGGTGTGCGATTCCCAACATAGAATCTAACTAAGCCAGGGATACTGTCAAAACTTTCAAGTTCAAACTGATACTGAACACGGCAGTAGGCTTCATTGAACCTTCGAACTGTTCTGTTGATTTTAAAATGCTGAGAGGTATTTTTCCACTGACAGGTAAGAACAAAGTTCCCAGGACTGGAAAGAGAATCTCTAATGAGAAAATCTCCATCCCTCTGAACTAGGCCTTCTGCCACCTTTAAAGAAAAAGAACACAGAATAAATGATTTACGAATCAGGAAGTCGATCACCAAACAACAAAATATTCTTACACATAGGACTTAATTTAGCTATTCTGGCAGGACAAAGCTAGAAAATATTAAGCAAAGCATAAAGCATGGTAGAAGAACATCTCTGATTCTAAAATTACAAGCTCATCCCACAGTACCTGGAAGGACTCAGTGGAAAATGCCCAGCAGCCAGAAGCATGTATGCAAGCACTTTTGCATGTATAAAATTTCTTCTCATTTGCTAATAGAGTTTAAAGAATCTGAATGTATAGTCACACAAGAATTTAGAAGTCATTACTACAGGACCCCAGGAACTGTCCCTTCATTGTTACCTTAAATGACAAGCTTTCATTTTTTATTCTTCATGAGTGCTGCATAAAACCAGGAAGAGTCAGAAAAACCTGTTTTAAGTTAGTCCTTTGCATTTGATAAACTGTGCATCTAACAGTAAGTTGAAAATGTGGCTGCTGTGCCTGCTCTTGTTATGTACACCGAGGGCAGCAGGCAGCTTGAAGCTTTGGTGAGAGCTGGGTAGGAGAGAAGCCTGCAGGTGGAGCTCCAGGTGCCCTTGCAAGCCAAGCTCCAATACAACGACAGCTTTCACATACTACTAACTACAGTCGATCAAAATGAAGTTACCGAATAGATTTATATTTTTCCCTCCCCAAAATTTGATACACAATAAAGAAAACAAACAACAGCATTTGGTTCAGTACAATGATATCAGTGTGTCTGAACAATATTTGGAGATAGCATTCTGATATAAATTCCATTTCTGTCTTTATTCAGTCCATGAAAATCCTGAAACATATATTCCACCAGTGTCTGCCCTGAATCCTTCATCAACCTCATTTTACACCGAGTGGTGATAAATACAGCTTTCACACTAAGAAGGCACTTACATTTCTACTAAATTAACGGAGGTATCACAGATGTGTGTAGTACCTTAGTGCAAAATTCTTTAAAAGCTCAGAGCACTCTTTGCAACACGAAGATGAGAAATCACATACCTGCCGAGGAATACGTCCATGGTACCAGGCATGGCTACGCAAGTCTTCGCTACTTAACTGCAGTTCCTCCTCTAACTCCTTCTTCAGTTTTTCCGGGCTGTTGTCCATAACTTGCCGCTCCTTAGAAAACTGCAATAAAAGATTAAAAGCTTCAGCTGTGCCAAGTTTAGTCATTAACATTTTACCTAGGTTATAACTTCCATCACATGATCTGCACTAACCCACTGGAATGCAGGTGGCTGCTTTTAGCAGGCTGGCCTGGCTTCAATATCTAGGCTGTATTTTGCAAAATCCAGCATTGAGATAACATGATTGTTATACACTGCACAAAACGCAGCAGTGATCTTTCTCTATACCAAGCTAATAATGACACACCTGCAAATCATTTTTCTTACTTTCTCTTCCCAGTAAGAATTTTAATTGTACTTCACTCAAAAAGTGGAGTTGGACCCCAATTCCCTACTTTAATATCCTTGCTCCTTTTCAAATTTCCATTTTAAATCCTGATTCTTTTTTTTTTTTTCATTTTTATATCCTTTTGGCCCATCCAATTAAAAACATTCCATGTTCAATATTTCTGTTGTACTAAAAATAACTTGACTCTACCAAAGTAAATTTTCACCCTTAATGGGCTTACTTCTAAGGGTCACTAAATCTGCACGCCCAAGATGTTTCCCTTCTTAAGGGAAAAAAGCTCTTGTTGTCCCGTAGGCCCAAACGCACAAGATCTACATGGAGATCTCTCTATCACTACTATAAAACTACTGTAAGATTTTCTAGAAAATTTCCATCTTCATCTCTTGGAGTACAGTTTCCATGCTGGAACGCTCCCATCAGGGCTCATTGGTCCTTCCCATGGATGCAGTGGTACTGCTAGTAAGGTCATGCGCGTATTTTCTCTAGAGATTTGTCAAGTATTCTTTCATAAGCACTTAGTGGAGAAAAAGTTCTTTGGACTTCCCTACATCCTCTCAATGGTTAGGGACTCCCACCCACCTTCGATGTTACTGAAGAGACTTAAGAGTAATTCAGATGGAAAGGACCTGCAAAGATCATCAAGTCCAACTGCCTGAGCACTTCAGGGCTAACCAAAAGTTAAAGCATGCTACTGAGGGTGTTGTCCAAATGCCTCTTGAACCCGGACAGGCGTGGGGAATCCACCACCTAAGAAACCTGTTCTACTGTTCGACCACCCTGATGGTACTGTGTGCAGAACTGCACACAATATTCAAAGTGAGACCACTCCAGCTAAATACAGTGGGAGAATCACCTCTTTTGACCGACTGGCTATGCTGTGCTTAATGCACCCCAAATGCAATTCACCCTCTGGGCTGCCAGGGCACACCTGAGAGCTTCAAAAGTCTAAGGTACTCAGCAGAAACATGGCCGGCAACATGCTGCTATGTTGAGCAAAGAATCAGAGTATGCTCCCCATTAAAGGAAATAAATAATAATAATATAATTAAAAAAGAGAGAGTGGCATAGGCATCCAGTGGGAAGGTAGATTAAAATGCAGCAGATTCCCCATGGCATCACACTTTTTATCTTGGCTGTGGATACGAGCTACAGCTTAGATTCCCTTCCCTGACAAACTGATGTAAACATGCAATGTTTCTTAAAAAAGAAATGAGAAAGCCATTGCTCACCTACCAATCCCATTTTTCCCATGAACACTGCTCTCTATAGTGTTTTCCTCTTGGTGTTGAATATTCCTACCACCAGCTGTGGGAGCAGGTGGCATACAGTTAGCACCACTTTCAACAATCCTCCCTGCAATTTTAAGTAGACTGAATTACAACAGTTTACTAGCCAGCAGATTTTTGGAGGAATCATGCCAGAAGAGGCATCCTGCTGCCAAGGCTATTTAAACATGCTGAGAGGCCTGAGAAATTCTGAGATAAATTCTAGTTCACTCTACTTCTCTCTGATTTTCTCAGAGAAAATGATGGCGGATTTTTTTTTTTAATTACTATTATTATTATTAAGATAAGCTCAAACGAGTGTAGTATCGTACGAAGAAAAAAGACAAAAACAACCTGGTACAGGATCACTTTTCACTAACTTTGCTTCTGTGAACTCTAACAGGGTGGTATTTATCCATGCAAATTTTTAACAAGGAACAAATCCTTTGTGCTCTGGTACAGTCAAGGCCTTTCACCAATTCCTCCCAACCCTTTCAAAGAAGAAAAGTCTGTGCTGGAACAAACCACACCACATGACCTTCACTGCAAGCAATTTTTCAAAAACAAAACAAAACAAAAACACATGGCCAACATCAAGAGATAAAGGTACTGGCTGTAGAATGAGTCACGCAAGACACTGTGGTGAGGATTCAGATATAAAAACCTATCAAAGTATCAAAACATAGTCAAGTAAAGTCAATAATCCCCCCCTCCACTTCAAACTTCTGTGAGCTGTCAAGCTAATGTAGCTAAAAAAAGAACCAGGGGCACATGCCTGCCACCTTTGATTTCCCAACTCAAATGGCTGGCTACTCAGCTGGCTGGCATTGATTCCAGAATTAACAGTTAGCCATTTCACTGCCACATCATACGGAGTTACGGAAAGCATCATAGCATTTACACAAGCTGAGGGGGTAAAGGTAGAGCACGCAAACTTAAGAGTAGAATTTTCAAGAGCACCTGAGCCACCCCATTTCTGAACTGGAGCTGGAGAGAAGCTGGAGCTGAGAGAAGCGGAGCCGCACACACAGCTGCCCCTCGCTGGTAAGCAGTTGCGCATTATGGGGAATCACACGTCCTTAGGAACAGAGACTGTCCTGGTAACCCTACAGCTTATTCTCCTCATTAACAATCGGACAGTTCATGAGCCTGAAATATGGGACCAGACTGAGGTCACGGTGTGGGACTCTGCAACTAAAAGCGACCAGGTTGCGGTGGGATTGCTCGGCACCTGGCGAGCAGTCTCTGAGGCCTTACAGAGCCCTGTGGGGCCCCAGTCAGACACGTGTGGGTTGCCAGGCAGTGAGGGAGCTGCGGGCTCCTTCACTGATCCGACTGCTATGCCATCGGCCCCCCCGCCGGTACTGCCATCGCAGGCCTTGGCTGCTCTGCTCCCTGGTGACCTGGACGTGCCTTTTGACCCAGGCCCTATTGGCCTTGAAAAGGAGATGGATCTGCTTATCCTTCGATTCGGGAAGAACGGGATACATAAGGCCCAAAGACCGAGTTGCTTGACAACTTAAAGCGAGACATATTGCTCAAAAGGAATGGAAAATGGAGACATGTTTGTAATTAAGAAAAGGAATGGAAAATTGAGACTCGTAAGTCGTGGAATTTAAAGGATTGTTTGTTACCTTTTCTGATTGTACATATGTATAGGCATGCTCGGGTTTAGTATGTCAAGCAATGTTCTGTATATTTAGACTGTTTGATGTTCGTGTGTGCGTGTTGGTGGAGCACAGACTCCCCGCACACCCAGCGCTGTTTACTTGCCTTTTATACCTTTTATAAATATTTCTTTTATAAATATTATTAAATTCAGATTGAGTTGAGACTTCATTTATAACAAGGAAAAGCAGTAGGTTTTTGCATATCAACTGATTGTACTGATATAAATTATCTTAAAAACAAACAAACAAACAAACAACAACAAAAAACAGGCAGATCCAAGTTACATCTGAATTTCAAAACCAGCATAGAAACCTAGAATTTCTGGTGGTTGAATGGGTATTTCACTACTCCAGTGAATGTAATGAAACATATAACACTTGAATTACATCTAGCAACACAACATGAAAAGCATGTAAGGAATCTAAACCAACTAAATTGTTAACATTCACAATTACTCGTTAAAAATCACTCCACCACGGTTTATCACTCTGAGCATACTCTGTTGCCAGAGGTCAGACATCTCCTGAGACGAAGGAAATACAGTGAAGTAAACCCTTATGCAGCTCTGAACGTAGTGGAGAGCTCCTGCAGCTAGCACACATCCCAAAATATGCAGGGGGCAAACTGCATAACAGGTAGGCAAGTTTAGTGATACCATGTCTTCCTGGGCAGTAGTCTTTGTTGGAGAGACTCATTTCTCATACAAGCTAAGTATGTTCAAAGAAAAGTGTGAATGATAAATTGTCTGTAATCATACCAGCCTATGCCTTTCTACTTCTAAGGGCTATATATCCAAGGCCGCCCATCCTGCAAGAATGTCTGCACACACTCAACTTCACATCATGCTCAAAATCTGCTCAGAAATAGCCTACACAATCATGTTAATCTGTAAGCAAGGAAGAGAGTCAGCTTAGAACAGCATAGTTAGCTATTTCAATAGATTTGCATTTTAAAAGAAAAGGTGATTTATTCTGTGCAACGTGATGCAGATACTGCAGCCCCATTTCTCAATAGGTCACAAAACCTGAATGTTAATGGACAGTAATGTCATGATGTACATTTTCACTAACTTCATAGCAATAAACCATTTAGTATTATGTCCTCAGTTGATGTCTTTCTCTAAGACACTTTGTTGGCTCCTTCCCAATGACAGAAAGAAAACTGAATTTGCATTTGAAGCCTGAGAGTGAAGTGGATGGTAAAAAGCAAGTAACAAGAAAAAAGAATCTAGGGCAAAAATTAGACTTAAGTATATTCTGCAACAAAACACAGCTAAGGCAAAATAGGGAAGTTACCAGTATAAGTATGTCAAGACATCCAAATAGTAACAACCCTGTCAGAAGTCTTTGGAACATTTACGCAAATTAAATCAGCAGGTCTCTTTCTATATACAGATGCTTTCATTGACCTACAAAGAGCTCCCTGTAAGAGGTGCTTTCCAGAACTTCTTGTTCACATTTTAGTTGCAATCATTTCAGTCCTGGTGCCAGTTTGAAACATTCCCACCATGCTGTTTTTTTGTTTTGTTTTGTTTTTAAAAACAGATCTCTGTAAGAAAAACAGTAAATATCTCTCAATGCAGTATTATCAACCTTAGTGCAAAAGCCCTCAATCCCACTTACATAGCTGATGGAAAAAACCCAGAGAACTAAGAGCTTGGAGATGGAAAAAAAGTCCAATCAATACAATTATTTTAGTGGTTTTAATAAATGCCGCAGAAGTTGATTATATTACACAAAGTACTTCTACTTCACAGCCATTACATCTGTAAAAGCA